AGAAAGTCAAAGATTAATCTAAAAGAACATATAATATAGTTTAAATATAATTTGTTTTATTTTAGTCTCTTTATTTTTCTAAAATGATTTTGTTCTCAATATATTTGCAACTTAGGTATTTTAATCTCTCTTATTAATGTGGACAGACAAATAATCATTTTTATATGATAATATTTTCACTAATCACATCATTATTTAATGGCTAATAAAGATCAAAAGCGTCAACTCTAAAATATCATGGAATAAAACTATATTTTTTTTTACAAAGAATAAAAAGAAAATTTCAATAAATGTTTAAAAATATTCATCAAACCCTTTAAGATTGAAATTTAATAATTAAATGATAATTTTTTATTAAAAAGTATTTGTTATATTTTTTTTATATCTATAATAGAATAATGTATTTTTAATAAAAATTCGTTAAATTTTAAAAGTTAAGATGAACAAATCTTTAATGTTTTAGGGAAATTATTTTGGTTAAGCAATTTAATTAATGTTCTCCAATTGTGTATTTCGTTTTAGGTATGTCTCCGGTCGTTGGTATGATCAAGTTACCTACACACGAGAAGATAGTACCACAAAGTAGAAAATTTTGGTGGTCTACTGAGCTGTATGTCTGAGATGACAATAGCATCTAACTAGTCTATGTTGGAATGCACTTACCAAATAATGGCTATCTCTCCTTTATGAATTCAATGGTAGAAGTTGGGTGTACATTCTTTAAAACCTGCCCCAGCTCTTGCAATCTTGCTTGTGTCCAATGCCCTTTTGTATTACTTATTTTTGCTACGGAATCAATAAGGTTCACAATACATCTATACTAAATAGTATTGATATGTTTAATGTGGTTGGCACTGAAGTGGGATATTGTAGCCTGATGTGCCTGCAGCATTGGAACAATCATTAATGAGAATGCGAATTCTCACTCTAAAACTTGTTTGCCAACGTCTTCTTAATATTATATTCTCACTATATTTTCCGATTAATCATCCTAATGTTTTATAAAGAATGTTAAATAAAAAATAAATATTGTATTTAATATTTTAAAAATATAAAATATTCAATACTATGTTTAACAAAAAGAGAGTAGAAAGATGCTGTACGGGAGAATTTTAATTTATTCATGTAGAATGAATGATTCATAGCAAATGATAAATTGTATGCTAAATCCTCTTACAACATATTTTAATTGATTCTCGTATTTATCAAATAAAAATATTTAAAATGTTATGTTATTTCTTTTAATATTAAAAGGATTCATACATATCCGTTTAATACTTGATAATTAGAAGGATTAATTAGAGATTGTAGTTGCGAATAATAAAATACTCATTTAAATAATACTTCTTTGTCATTTATTTATCGGGTATTATTTTAAAAGTTTTAGTAATTTTAATTGTAAGATATTTTACCATTCATTTAGTGAATTTTTTTTCTTATTTATCCTTTATTTATCTATACAATTCAGTTAAAGATATCTTGTAAAAAATATTAGAGGGAATACAAGGACTCTTCATTTGGTAGCTTTAATTTAGCCTTACAAATATTGTCTCCGCAATTCCATTTATTAATCAGCGCATGCTTCAATTAATTGGATGCACTTTTGAGAGAAAAAGAAAAATCCTTGCAAGAATATATAGGGATGTGATATATTTTGCTTCTGACTTCAATGGTGTAGTTATGCATTTATATTTCAACGAACCATCTTCTGGTACTCGACTTCAATGCTTTGTAATTGCAGAGCGTAGCTCTTAAATATAGAAATCATATGGTCCACCTTGTAAGTTGAGTAGGTGTTTCAAAATAAATTTTAAACCTATCATTTTTTATCATTAATTTGATGCAGAAATTCAGCAGAAAGTGAAAGTAACCAAAACGAGCTTCAAAATTATCAATCATATCATACTGTCAGGAACTTCATGTGCAGAATAAATAACGACGAGCCTAGAAAAATGAAAACATATATATTAGAAACATACCAAAGAAAACAAATTCATAATTTCGTTTTTAATTTGTAGGCAGAGACACGAAAAAATGACACAAAAAGCTAAAACAGTGACCAAAATTATATTAGACACAAAAAAATGTCAAACTGAATTGTTTATTCTTGACAATGCCACCCTAACAGGTATTTGATTATTCATGGAAAAGCTAAAACAGTGACCAAAATTTCTATTTCATTGATGTCTTTCTTTGTCAAGGAAATAACCGATTGTTGATTTCCGACCATCTTCAGGTTTGTTACACTGTCTTCAGCTATCAAAAAGGTCATTCCTTGAAATGCTAGCACGACAATAGTTCATATATTCTTGAATTAATTGTAGTGTAGCAAACCAATTCTCAAATCAATTTGATTCCAACTGAACAGTGATTCTAGCACCCCACACACCTTTGTTGTCCAAGGCAACACGTGCACTTCATATTAACTAATAATAGCCACACGGTTGCCCCGAGATTGAAATATAATTTCGTGGGTCCACGAAAGTGCTTTAATTTATGCCACGCAACCATCAGTGTCCAATTCACAGTAGGTAGCAAGAAGAGCTTCTCGAGGAGAAGCATTACTAATGCTTGCATATATCTTATTACAATTGTGTGTGTTATTTATATCTTATCATAACCACAGGCAGGTAAATTAGACTCGTTACAATAAGCATAGAAAGTGACATTTCAACTTGTGTCACTCTTGGTTAGATGTGCCCATATATGGTGAAAGCTTCCACTCTAAAAAGATGGCCCACAATGTATGCATGGAAATGGACTAGCCACAAACTAGGCTTCTCCAGGTAAATGAAATTGAGAAGGGTTATGGATCTACTACTTACGCTCAATTAAATTCTTTAGCTATATATCTTCGTGTCACCCCCTACCATGGCCATGGGTCTATATTTTGCACGTGCTTTTTCTCTCCTGAGTAAAACTATTACTATGATGACTATGTAGTTTATCTTTTTCGCATTAATTGGATTTGCTGTACCATTCAAACCCTGTTGTAATGTTTTATTATAAATTGTTTAACTGTTGGGGAAAAAAATATGTTTACTAACAAATCATTTATTTATTTTTAAGTAATCTGACTTATAACTTTTCTTGATTTCATTCTAATTTTAACTGTTGGGCTACCATCCTTCTAATTTACTTTCTTTATTAAGATTCTCATAGATCTTTTCATCATATGTCTGTATCAATTAAAGCTAAATTTTGTCATGTTTTTACAATAAGTACTGCCCTAGCTAATCTTTACTTGCAATCCTATTTGATTTGTCTACCTGTCTATTGTAATAATATCATCTTTACCCAACATTTTGCTTTTTATTCTCATTGTAACATTATATTCTACTTCTTTTGGCTGAGGCAAAGAGAGCGATCCTTTCAAATAACTCTCTCCAAAGAGAAGGGAGGGGAAAAACCTTTTTCAAGATTCTGATTTCATTATATTCTGAATGATTTGATGTTGTTGCAACTGTGCAACACGTATCTTGTACCTTGGTTGCTAAAAAAGAAAAGAAAAGAAAAGAAAAAAGAATAATCAGACTAATTGATTTTTTCTTCAGAAAAGAACATTATGAAAAAAGATGAAAGAAACCATGCATTGTACTAACTAATATAAACAGAAAGTTTTAAAAGAACAATTAATGAAGTAATGCATGGGTAGCTGTTGATTGTACGGAGATGTTTTTTCCTATGTCAATCATCCTTTCACCATCACCAATTTACCCCCATTGAGCATTGCACTACTGCACTACCTCTACCACCCTTTGATCCTACTATCATTGTTATTGTTCCTGTTACTACATATGAATTAAATTATTTTACTCAAACGTTCCATAATCTTCTAATTATCTTGAATTAGATATATCAAAATAAAATTAAAATTCAACTTTAAATTATATTGTTTTCATTTTATTCATCTGTCTAAAGAACAAATATATATACAAACCAATATAAATATTTATGTGGCAAACATACTGATTTACCCTTTATTAATGAATCTCTTTTAAACTATTGAACTCAAATAGTATTAATTAATATTTAAATAAAAAATATTAATAAAAGAATAATAACTAATATTGTTTCAAACTTCTGCATGAATAAATAACATAATAAGAACACTATTCTTCTCCTCTCTCTCTAGACAAATAAATAAGAATAGAAGTAACAATTCTTTGCACAAGTCCGAATATGAACTTAATTTCAACTGCAATAAAATAGAGAGCACCCCTCTGAGTCCGGAATAACCAGGTAAAGCTTCTAGGCACTAACAAAATTGGAATTAAAACTATACTTATAAACCATTAATTCTAATTCCATGTTTCTAGGTGATAATTTCTTTTTAAAATTTTATATGCATTATCAGAGGTAATCTTATTCAAGACCCACCAAATATAGACACATCCTCCATGGTAAGAATGGAAGATTCAAACCGTGATTGGCCTGTGGGACTAGTGCTTTCCCTTAGACCCAACATCGCTGGGGCATAAATTGGCAAAAGGCCAAAAATCAAGGCATAACTACTTTTGGCAACCTTTTTACATGCTCAAAGACTTGTAGAAGTTCTTTGAATGGACACGTACAAACAAGACAAAATATATACCACAGAATGCAAATTCAACGACTTATCACGACCAATAGGGTCATCGATATCATACAGAAAAGAGGATACCGGGGGTCATTGCAAATTTTCTGCTAACATGTCAAAGTAAAACCAACAGCTAACAATCTCAAACTCTGGCAACTAGCATTTCAATCGGCAGGTATATAGAATTGCGCTGATAACATTCTATTTCAATCAGCATAGTTAAATAGGCATCTATTGGTATATTCTTTTTACATGTCCATTCATTTTAATCTGCAAAACTGACAATACAACTATTGAATTAAAGGATGATATGATTCTGAGAAAACCAAACACTCATCACATATTCCATCATCCAAGAAGAACCACCCTTTGGTTTTTCACTTTCATTCTCAGCCTGTAGACAAGTGATTTGGTTTTTCTCTCTGTGGATTAGGATTTTCTAAACAGCAGGAGAACTTTCACAGACCACCTTTATTTTCTTTCGTTCCCTAATGGATTACCAGATGAGAACATAGTCTTGCTATTCACAATGCCAAATCTTTTTCTCTCACTAATTTTATAGTCTAGAACCATCTACACCTGAGCAATTGGTGTTGCTTCTCTCTCATTATATGTAGCCTTTGATTTTGTTGTTCGTGATTGTCTTGATGAAGCAGATAGCAATTCAGAAGAGGAAGTCGACTTGGTCTTTTTCTGCTTGGGCTTCTTAGGAACATGAGCAGCCCCTGCAGAAGTGATGCCTTTGTAAACGTTTGATGTTGGTTGACTTCCAGTTGGTTCTTCAAAATCTGTTCAAAGGGCGGGTTCAAGTAAGGGATAATAATCATTGAGAAAAATAAGAAGTAACATAGATCCCAACAAGAAATAAATTAAAGACACTGGGTAACCCTGCAAGATCTTATTTACTCTCAAACAATTCCTACATGCAGCAAACAGTTTTGACTTTTGATGAATATAAAGAATATACAAATATGATATGTCTATTGCTCCTGATTCTCACCCTGTAACTGGAAGGAAATTCACAATTTGCAGACAATGGAAATAAAATAAATTGTAGTATAACCACATAATTTCATTTATGTTGTTGATCTTGAGAGTGGATGCAGTAAAGTACAGTGACTAAAGGTAGAGAGTGGAAAAAGACGGAACTTTCTGAAAAAGAAATCACCATGAAGATAAACAGCCTATTTTAAACACACAAATGCATTGGACCAGAAAAGAAAGAAGGATGAAAAAAGTGCACACCATTGTGTAGTTAAACTGATTTCTTAGCACATAGAAGTATAGAACTAGTACTTCCAAGTTCTGAGAATAGAGTGCCCTCTTTCATACAGAGAATTCACTGCCTTGCTTTCACTTCTTAATTGTGAGGGACCAGATACTCCAAATTTGGCACTAGACCAACCCTTGGACACATTGTTTTTGCAAGAACACATTGCATGATGACATGTACCTGGGGATCTCAATGGGATGGATACTTTCCCCTTCAAGAAAGGCATAGTATCCCAGAGTCACAGCTAATATGTTCAATAGAAGAACTGAACCCCCAAAAAGTGCACAACTAAATTCTTCTTAGCTAGACTGACAACCACCTTCAAACATCTTGCCAACCATGATTCCCAAAATATAAGGTTCCAAGAACTAACCACCATTTAAGTAATATGGCCACAAAGCTTTTAAATGGTAAGATCAGGTACTTAATGCATACGTGTCAAAAATAAGTAAGAACATAAGTAGGCTGCCGCTAATGTCTGATACTACTATATAGTATGTATTTGATATAGATGATAGGTTCCATCTTAACCACACTCCAAAAAGAACAAATCTTAAATGTCTACATTAAATTCTTAATAGAATTATTCATATAGCTTTGCAGCTTCATTCAATTAGGTTGTATTTAGTTCAATTAAGGGTTTAACTTGATCTCGTTCAGGAAACTTGCCACATGGAAAACCTAAAGACCAATAAAAACCTGTTCTTATCAATCACAGTGATATAATATTAAATACCAGATTGAATACAATCAAACCACTTTAAGAAATTCTGGTGTGGACCACTAAAAACAGCGCTAATTGTAAAGCCAAGAGCCATTAGATTCCCCTTGTTGGAGACTATTTTGCTCGTGACACAACAGCCAAACTCTTTCTATGGAGGCAAAGAATCTAGATAGCTTTTGCAAGCCTCAATTTATCTAGAAGTTAATCAAGAGACACAATAATAATCAAATACATGTTACCTTTTTTACTAGTTAACCCGTGAAGGGACATCAATTTGTATTATTCAAATTAGGGAGACTGCACGGTTTCACATGAACACAGGATCTCAATATTTAATGACACCCCATTTGGAAGCAAAAATCAAGCCATGACTCAGATGATACGTTGCTATATGAGAAGAGAAAAGCAAAGCATACCTTGGGAGGACCATGATGTAGTGACAGCCATGGGATTAGGATCACTCAGTTCTCCCAAGTTACTTAGAGACGTTGAAAAATCAGGCGCGGTCTTAAAATCATTCATCTATATTAAAAAAAAAAAACAAAAACAAAAGAAAATATCAACAAACAGAATAGACAAAATGACAAAAAAATTTGGATTTTATATAGTTGTAACATAAATGGAGAGGTAAAGTGCACAGGAACCATAACAGCTCCGTACCCAACTGGGTCCAGTTCCTGAGGGGCCATCCCATCCAATGTGAGCCACATGCTTAACATCTGTCGGGTACCCAATTTCCATCTCACGCTCCTTCACAACTGCAACAAGACCCACATCCCAACTCAGCCCCAATATTTACAAAACCCAGAAAACTGAAAAATACATTGGAAGGTGCACCATAGATTACCAAATATTTGTGTGATGAATTTGAAACTCTTGTAGATTCCTTTTAATGTGGTTGGCATGGTGGAAATCACAACCCCAATAATGCCGTATATTGGGAAGTGGAGGCTGAAAATTTTTTAGCAGGAAATGCGTTAGCCTGTCACAAAAATGGAGTTTCGTTATATACAACGCTTAATCCCAAAAATAACATAGAGTGTCGGATAAGGTTTCATTGCATGTGATTCAGGACCTCTTTTCGTTTTCCTGCGAATGAAGAATGGCATCTGAATATTGAATACAAAGAAGATGCTATTGCTCATTAATGTAAAGACTAAAAGACTTCACTTACAAATGATTTTAAGTACAACACTTCGAAGATAATTTCTAGGGAGAGAGAAAAAAAGATACAGTACCTGAAGAGGATTATGATGTAGGTGCTAATAGAAGACCAGCTATTTTTGTGTGAGACATTCTGAAACCCATGTGGAGAGAGAGTGCTGACACATGCAAAGCCTCTGTATCTGTTTTGCTTTCAGGCAGAGCTCAACATATCAAATGGAATGAGGAAAATATCAAATGGGTGTTTGAAAAGTTGTGATTTTGATTGATGGGGTATGGGATGCAGGTTGGGCTGAAACCAGGGAGGCAGGAGAAGGATGGGGAAGAGAGGATAAAGGGTTTACCTCTAAGAGAAGAAGAAGAGAAGGTGGGCATCCATGAATGAAAGTTTGAAAACTTGTGAATGAATGGAGAGAGAGAGAGAGAGAGAGAAGTGTTGGGAAAAAAAATTAGGACAAAGATTCGAGAATGGAAGACAATTTAATAATGGTTTAATGGGTTTTGTTTATTAAGGGTGGTATGTCTGTTATTGTTGATATGCTTGGTTGATGGTTGTTGAGAGTCGATACAGTGAAGCTTTGCTCCTTTTAATCTTCCTCTCACTTCTCCCTCCGATCAACGTTTGTCTGGAAATGTGAGCCCAAATACCAGCTACAAAGCCAATGACTTCTGAGTTCGCTTTATATATATATATGGAAAATAAATAAATAAATAAATAATGTAAAATTTTGAGAAAATTTAGAAAAATATGAGATTATAGAAAATTTTTAAAAATAATCAACGCTGCGATTTTTTGTCCTTCAAAATTTTATTTTAAATTTTAAAATTATTAATGACAATTTTTAATAATTGTTGTTGGCAATTTTTAGTATTTTATTTTTTATAATTTTTACCTTTTACATTTTTTAATCTCTACACATAGATTAATGGTTATTTTTGAATTTTTATATTTTTAATTTTCTAAAATTTATATATTTTAATGTATATTCTTTTAAATACTATATAAAAATAAAAATAAAAACCTCTAAGTTCTAACTGCGGTAACATGTTTTCCTTTATTATTTGATTACTTATAAAATACTTAGGGGATTATTTTAGACGATTTTTTAGTTTAATTATAAATTTGTCACTTTATTTTATTTTAAACTTTTAAAAATTGTATAAAAATAATTAATTTTATTATTTTTATACAAATATTTGAAAAAAATTGTGAAATCTGTACATCATGTGTCCTCCAACACAAATTAACAGTAACGCTCCTTCCATCAACTTTGTGTTAGAGACACACTATATGGAACATTGAGTTTACAGTAAAAACCAAGATCCAAAATGTAAACAAGTTCCCTCCTCTTACACCAATGTGCAACAAGTACAAATTATTACCTACGCAAATATAAAAAACAATAATCATAGTATTTTATTTAAATTCTATTAATTGAAGCATTCTCCCTAAACAACTGTCTTTGATTTGTATAAATTGTCAAATGCTTCAATCCTATTAAGAGATTTCCTATAAACAATAAAGCTGACAAATAACATTACACTTGAATACTTATCATTGCTCTCGTCATGTCTTGGTCTTGCTGACACTGACAGATCAAAACTCGGAAGGAATAATAACTTGTTAAATTCTTAAGATCAATTTATATAAATGTGCAGCAACATCAATTGGTTTTTTTAGGGATCAAATCATATATCAACATTGTGAAAGTCCCACTACTTGCTAATTATCATATTTATTGACATTTTTCGTCCAATTGTGATTGTTAGTGCAGTTTTCATGTAAAACCAGGCAAAAAAAATGCCTCTTAATGCGTATACGTAGCCACCTCTTTGCTTCAAATTCCTTTGCTTTGTTGGCATATCTCAGAATGGTTGGAGGCACGTTGGAGATCCAGTTTTTTATTGTTAGGAGACAGATCCTTTGTATCTTTCTTGTTACCAAAAGAAAACCTTATCGTGGATCTCAAACTATCTGGTTTCTTCCCTCAATTAGTTTATGTATTACAATTCCTAAATTTATAGTAGCAAATCAAAGAAAGGATATTTTATAACGCAATTATTCTTGCATGCAAGCAATAAAGATACAAGGTTTTCTTAACATTAATAGCTTAATTACTAATTAGAGATTGTTGATGCTAAACTAAATTAATTTTATTATATACATTGCACTTTATAGCTCAATGGGTACACTGATTTCGTAAGCTGTGGTGCCAGGATCATTTGAGGGGAGCAGGAAACTATTTATCATCGTTGACAAAAGTTTATAATTCAAATATTTTAAAAACATGAAATCTTAGGAAGAACAGTCACACATACACTAATTTAATCGACTATAATTATTTGTTGTTGATATTTATATTTGTCATAATATTTTAATATAAATTTTATCGCAATTGTTAATGATTATTAATTATTAATATTATTCCAAACCTCTGAGACCTTACATTATTGCTGTTTATGAGTAAACTCATTTTTTTTGTCAACTGTTATGAGTAAACCTAAATTGAAAATTTTGTTGTGATATATATGATATGGCCTCTTGTTGGTAGCAGAATGGAGTCCATTGTTTGGTATTTCTCTGGGCCTCTTTTGTCTTGGTACCGAACGTCATGGGCTATAGGCCCGATCCAGAAAACACAGTGAGTGACCGTTTAGGATTAATTTTTTTTCTCGTATTTCACTTCGTGTAGCATTATATTTAATTAATAATTACCTATAATTTTTGTTTTATAAATTATTTTATCGATTTTTAAAATATTAATGCTGTATAATTAGTAAAAGTATAGAAAAATGCACATGTGGTTTATGTTAAAATAAGAAAGGCAATGCCAATTGGCAAAGCCCATTTGGCGGCTTACCATGAATGGGCTTTTCAGGCCTTTATATTTCGGCGTGGTTTCTATTTGCACAGAAAAGACAAAATCGAAGTGCCATATCTATTGTAATATTTTAACTTCTTTAGTACACAATTTTTTTTTTATCAAATACGAATATGTTTTTAATATAATCTAACTTTATCATTTCTAACGTTTTTTTATTTTATTTTGGCCCTAAAAAATAAATAAAAACATAACTTTATTCATAAACTATATAACTTCGACTTGCTAAAGTTACATAACTGCATAACTGGGGATGCTCCAATCCTTTGTTAAAAAATAATTTAATTCTAATACTCTCAATATAAAAAATTTAAATTGTTAATGAGCTTTTAGCCCCCTTGATTAGAAAAAAAATCAATTGTTAATTAACTAAAAAATAAAATAAATACATCATTTAAATCAATTATTAAAAATTATAATTTTTATTGAAATAATAATTCATGATTAAATGACAATATTCTAGTTAAATTCTTATAAATAACTAAACATTATATTTTCTTTTTTAATGTGTATTTTTTTAACAAACTAACAATACAAGAATGTTATTATAATACTAAAATTAACTATAAAATTTAATAAAATAAAACATATTAATTAGAGTGTATCACTTCATTGAAAAATACACTCAAAGATCTTCATCCTAATTATAAAATATAACAATTATATAATTATATAAATGTTCATATATTATAAAATCAACTTTTTTTAGCTTTTATATCAAATAAAATCAAATAAACTTTTCTCTCCTAAACTAGCTACCTGATAAAAAAATTATTTCCTTAATCATTTAATAAATCCTTGAATCTCTTCAATTAACATTTTCATAATAAGCTATTTACAAATTATTACTGGAATACTATTTCATCAATTAAACCTATTTTTTTTAAAATAAAAAAATTAAACAGTTATATTTTATTTTCAGCAAGATAATAATTTAGATAATTTAAAATTGTATTTTTACATTTTACATAAATTTATAATTCCTTACAATTCACACGATATTTGGAAATTTTATATATGTATATGCATATATAATTTAAGAATATAAATACATAATTCTGTACTATATATAATTGTATGTTTCATGATGAATTACACAAACTAAAAACTAATTTTAATAGGCAAAATATCTATTAACCTCAATATGATATTTAGCCATTAAAATTTAGCGGAATTTCTATCTCTACTGAAGAACTTTGACTGGAGGGGAAAAAATAACATTTTGCTAAACTGATTGAAGGGTACTGCGCTTGAAAATTGCGTAGAGGGGAAGCTGTTAAGGGTGTTGTTGACATGATCCTTGCGCATTGACTCCGAGTCAATTATTTTTCTTTTCTTTATAAGAAAAAAGGGTTTTCTTTTCTTTTATACCCAACACTTTTAAGTTATATATATAGGTTTTCTTTCACGAAGGAGTTTCGCAAAAACGACGCCTTGTGGCCTAAGCATTCTCTCTCCATTGTTAACATTATCCTTGCTGATTGACTCCTTCGCAGTAACCATAACGAGTCAATTATTTTTCTATATTTATCTCTGCTTTTTGCATTGACGCCTTGTGGACTAAGCATTCTCTCTCCTTTTCGCACATTTTTATAAGAAAAAAGGGTTTTCTTTTCTTTTAATACTCAACACTTTTAAGTTATATATATAGGTTTCTTCGTAACCCCTTCACGAAGGAGTTTCGCAAAAACGACGCACTAAGCATTCTCTCTCCGTTCAGTCGATCATCATATCCCCAAACCAATGGCGCAACAACTAGACTCCACCGTCGATGTTCTAAGCGTAGACGATTTTTACTTTTCTGCTCTATTCGACGACGATCAAAACGACATGGTCCCTATTTCAGACGACAAGTACGCTGAAGAGTTGCAGTTTCAGGAGACCCTCATGGCCTCTGTCATCGCTTCCCAAATCACCACCAAAGCCTTATCATCATCACCAATCCTCTGCTTAACATCATCATCATCATCGATGCCGTCTTCATCGAAGGCCGTTGAAATAACCCTTTCTCCCAAACCAGAGCAAATAGGGTTGATGACCGAAGAAGCCGGTGAACCATGTTCGTCGCTCATCCTATGCGAGATCTGTGCCGAAGCAAAAGAGACTGATGAGATGTTTAGAAACCAGAGATGCGACCACTCTTTCTGCTCCCAGTGTGTGATCAAACATGTGGCCACCAAAATCCAAGACAAGATAACGGTTGTTTCTTGTCCCGGTTTGAACTGCAAGGGTGTGTTGGAAGTGGACGCTTGCATGGCAATGCTTCCAAAGGAACTTCTTGATAGGTGGAGCGATGCACTGTGTGAGGCTCTTTTTCTTACGGCTCACAAATTCTATTGTCCTTTCAGGGACTGTTCTGCTATGCTTCTGGTTGATGGTGAAGGGGGAAAAGATATAAGGGAATCTGAATGCCCTTTTTGCCATAGACTCTTCTGTGCGAGGTGTTATGTTCCTTGGCATGCTGGGGTTGGGTGTGAGGAGTTTGAGACACTGAATGAGGATGAGAGAGGGAGGGAAGATTTGCTTGTTAGAGAGTTTATTAATAAGAAGAAATGGAGTAGGTGTCCCCAATGCAAGTTCTTTGTCGAAAAGACTGAAGGCTGTTTGCACATCACCTGCAGGTCAAGTTAATTCTTTTTATCAGTTGTGATTGTGAAAGTTGTTGGCTTTCTTTTTTATGATGAACTTGAGAAATATTAGTGAATAAGACTTTTGTGTTTGCAGGTGCCAATTTGAGTTTTGCTATGCGTGTGGGGAACAATGGACTTCTACTCATGGGGGATGCCAGGGAGAATAGATTTTGAAGATATCGTGGTAATTGGTGTGGAATGGATAATCGCTGTTATTTCAATTGCCATCAGATAGATTTTTCGTTATTGTTTGTGTGGAATCTAGAAGTGTCACTTTTTTGCAGCTAAGGAAAACGTAATGTTAGCATGTCTAATTTGAAGTTGGTGCTTATAATTTGGTGGAAGATGTTGCAAAATCCTTTGAAATTGCATTTTAATATCCTGATAAGGTCCTGCTTGGCAGTTGTCCTGAAATGTCAGTCTTATAATGAATCATACATGTCATTATCTTCGTCGCTCAATATAACATGTTAATCACCAACTTCAATGTTCTACCCCATTGTTGTACACCATGTAACCTTCTAAATTGTAACAAGCTTGCTTAATAAACTAAAATGTGCACGCGCTTATTTTGAGGGACAATCAGCTATCGATATTTTCGGCTTCAAAGTATGAAAAACAGCGATAGGTGGTTGTTGTGTTGGAGTAATTTGTTGGCATAGACAAGCCACAACTTAAATTAATTTACTTCTTCCATTGCAGTTGGAATACTCTCAGTAGTTTCATTCCGGCTGTTAATTAGATCTGATATTGAGTATGCATGTTTTGAGGAATTCAAGGATCAGCGGTATAAAAAACAAATAAAAATTGATCTTCTTCAGAGATGTTTGGTAGGGTAAATTTTTCTTAGGGAATGTTTGGGAGAGGGTTTTTGGAGGGAAAGAGAGGGGAAGGCTTATTTTTATATTTTAAATAAATATATTTAAAATTAATAATTTTTAAAAATAAAAGATATAAATTAATATAATAACAAAAACTTAATATATTAATAATATATTTGCCATCTTAAATAATATATAATTTTTTAAATATAAAATTAAAAAATAAGCCCTCTTCTCTAAAAATGCTCTTCCAAACATATCCTTGGTTGTCAGATATTTGCCATTTGTATTCAGGTGATTTCTTTACTTTATTTAGAAGTTTAGAAAAAAAATGGCGAATTGGAAAGTGCGCAAGAAAGAACAGAGGGAGAGGAGGGTCTCCCTTCCTCGCAAAGAAGCGACTATTGTGTTCTTAATTTGGCAAAGACCTGCTTCCTTGACTAACAACAATCGGTGGTAGCACAAATGGTCTTGTTGCTATGGAGAGTGCGCCAAAATAAATTTTTGTAGATCAACGGATCCTAGTGCGTGGTGTTGTTGATGTTTTTTACAAATTACTGTTTCAGTCTCATATTTCAGGTTACATTGACTACTGTATTTTGTTTTAAAATACGTATTTACTATCACCTTAAAAAGTTTAAAATATTAATTTCTTTTGGAACACTTTTATTTATTAGTAATTTATTTAAACACTTAAATAGATTTGCAATTGCATTATAACTCTTTTAGTGAAGTTTTTGTTTTTTTTAAAAAATCATTTGGTTATAAATTTAATACGTAATACTTTTTTTAAAAATTGAATATTATTTTAAAAAGCAGGTAGTAAATTAAAAATTATTTCATTCGAAAATTATTTGTTTAGTTTTAATTATAAAAGCATTATCTTATTTTACTTTGTTTTTTGTTTTTTATTTTTTAAATTTTATATAAAAATAAATAAAATAATAAAAAGTTGTGGTTTTTATTTCTCATAATAAAATTTGAAAAAAAATAAAACAAAGTAACATTTTCATATTTAATAGTAAAAAATTAAACAACGAAACAAAAATCTCGAATCAAGCTATTTCTTAATTTTTCAGACTTGATGTGACTTGAGCCTTATATATCGACTACGACAGCATAAACATTCAAGCATCAAGTGATTTAGGTCCCAAAATAGCTACACTAACAGAGGCACACCTAAATCAATTTGTCCCCGAATCCCAAATTCGTAATTCCCAAGTTAGTAACGACGCAAACATATTGAAACTCAGATACCGTTACTTGAAACTTCGAAACCAGTCTTCTCCAGGCTTCAAGAAAAACCTGACATTGAATGAGCTCTCCTACTGTGGATAACCTATTTTCTGTGTTGGTGACTTCACTCTCGCTGACTTCAGCACCATGTCCTCTGATCTTGTTCTTATACTCTAGTTATTATGTTGAAGTCTCACTAATGTCCTTAGGAATAATTCAGAATAATCGTACATGATTCTTTTTATTCCTACAAATCTTCTTAATGAAAATATTAAATATGTTTTATGTTTTCAGATAATAGATACATGCAATTTTTTAAGAAAACGCTCAAAAACACCTATTTATGAGACAAGCCCAAAGCCAAAAAAATTCCATTGCTGTAGAGCAATACACCTTGCACAAACTCCAGGTTCACAAAAACTTGGATTAGGTTTGTATCAGATAACAAGAAGCTTCGAAACAAAATATATTTTCAAATCCAAGGATAGAGTATGCAGCCACCGAAGTAAGCAAATCAGAGCTATTGGATTAAGATTGGACAGCTAAGCTCCCAATTGCAGTAAATCAAATTTAAAACCAACACTCAAAATCTGATCCATTCGATCTTCATCCAACCGATCTAATTTGATTAGCTGATCTGAAGTCAATATATAATATCTACCGCTACGGCTTTTAATTCTTTACTGGGAGATCAAACATGAGTTCGTATATCCGAGTATACCTAAGCACCGAAATGATGCTACCCACTCTTTTTTTTCTCTCAGCCAAGTCAGATGCATGGATGGCTCACAGCTATTGAAATTGAACAAAAGACGTATCGTATCAATCTACCTTGTTATTGAAGGTTTGCTTGGTTGAAAGTGGGAAGGTGAAAATCTTGGAATGAGAATCGGTTTACACTTTATAGTATCTTGGTATAACGAAAATATGAAAACAGAGGGCAAAAAGAAAAAACTATTAACTATTTTACTCTGATTGAAAATAATTCCAACCTGTTTGTTATTTTTCACCTTCAGATTTTCTACCTACTTAAGCAGACAGACACGAAGTGTGAAAAAGGAAAAATTAGACTATTAAACCCATTGGCCAAAGTCTGAGCACAAAACATTTAAGTTTAAAAACCAGTGTAGCAGAGGAGTGATGATAAAATTCCATTTAACACCAAAAACCACCGGCCTTTCAAGAAACTTCACAAAATAATGCTATGCAATGAACAGAATAAATAGTAATGAAATTTTCAGACTAAAGAAAGGCAAAAATTGCTGCTTGTTCACTATTCAATACAATGTGTTATCACAAAAGATGCTAGCATTACCATGGAAATTATCACCATTCACTATGTTAAGTCATAAAAGTGGACAGAAACTTTGACTATTGGACCAAAAATCTTGCGAAGGTTTTTGGGACATGACCATATTTAACTAGAGATTTTTAGGAGTATCTTAATCTAACAAAAAACCATTAATTCATGATAAACCAAAGGGGACTTTGATTTGATAATAATAGAAGGATTTATCAAATAACTATTTTAATCAATTATAAGCCATGATGATAATGACAGACAAATGTTGTATGCCAAGGTATGACCATACCATTACTTAAACTTTTGGTTCTGTTAAATCTATATTAAGGAGAATAGGATTAGGATCCTCAAAAGTGCAAGTTGTAAATACTGGAATGAAATGGGAAGTGGATCAATTTTTTGTAAAGCTAAGCATCGTGGTAGGAATATATGGATTTATGAAAACCGACTCCCTTGATTTTCCCATACGAGGATATACCCTGCTCTGCAGACCAGCCAAATCCTAGAGACCAATGCCTATATCTGTGACACATGCTCAGCAGCACAAGCCCACACACTCAATTCGAAGATCAAACTTGGGAATGATCTCATACTAATATAACATTCAATTTAGTAGCATAATTTTTTAAAGATGCAATGCAGCATCATGCAATCGCCACTGATCACAACAACTCCAAACCAAATGCACTCCCAAGATTATAAAATCTTTCTAATGCTCAAATTCCAGCCAAAGTTCTACGATAAGTAAGATATTGTTGCTAAGCTTTAAAATTTAAAAATGAAAAGCAGACCCAAAACTATCAACCTGGAAGAGTAAATAAAGGAAATTGTAATGTAAGTTGCCACCAAACCTCAATTCCAGCTAGAGGGCCAAAACCCGTGAATCCCATAACCCGTCTTCCAATTATCCAAGTAAACAACCTGCTTCACAGCCAAAAAGGAAACCAAGAGCGCGAAGATCATAACAACCCTCTGCACACTCAAATTCCTAACCTTGACGAGTCCGTGAGTCATAAAAGCCAGAAGCAAACCCACGACAGTGTACAAGAACCCCACAGCAAAACCCTCAGCACCAAGCTGCATCCCTGATCCCTGGTAGAAAAACACGAGTTTGGAAGGGTCGTTGCGGTCAACGAGAAACATTGGCATCTTCCTAATGATGTTGTGCATGGCACCGGAAACACTGAAGAAGTAGACGAAAACGGACCCGGCGAGCCAGATTTTCGGGTCATGGAGCATGGTCTGACCCGCGAATACCTTCTTCAAGAAAAAAGGGATCCAAATGGCTATAACAACAGCTAAAAGGATCATTTGGTTCTTGGAGAAAACCGGTGGTCGATGGATGGGGCCCACGGAGAGTTTGGTCTTGGCTTCCACGAACTCGGCCATGGACTCAGCGAGTCGGGAGAAATCGCCCTGGTCCATTGGCTCGGAGTCCTTAAAGCCCATATTTGGGCCCACGAAGCGGATGTGAGGGAGGGCGTTGACGCCGAATTGGGAGAAAGTGAATTGGGATTCCTTGAATTCGATGTCGCAGAAGAAGAGTTTGGAGTGAGAGGGGTTATTGAGGTTGTTGGCTATGAAGGAGGAAGCGACGATGGAGAATTCGTTGCGGAGGTCGGTGAGGCGGAGCTCGGGTTTGTCGTGGAGCTGAGCGGCGTCGAAGAAGAGGAGGATGGAGTAGGGTCTTGGGGTCTGAACGGAGGTGAGGAAGCGAGAGAGGGATTGGTCGTTGAGGCGTATTATACCCGATTTGGATCGAGATTGCAGGGAGAGCAATTCGCTTACTCTTTCGTCGTTCGATTCGACAGAGGACATCGCAGATGTGAAGGCGAGGATGAGTATCAACAATGGAATCTTCCCCAAGGGTGCCATTGTTGAATGCTTGGGATGCGAGAAAGAAAAACAAGGGTTTTCAAGTCTCTGATTTTGGCGAGAGACAGAAGTAGTGTGAGGAATTGAGAGAAGACTTTGACGAATACACTCCGTTCCGGGGATTTCCGTTTCCCACGTCAATTTAGACAATTTTATACAATTAATTAATTCACGGTTTTTTAAAATTAATAACATCCAGTCAAAAATAATAATGTTTTGGATATATTATTTTTATTTTATAAGTTTGAATTAAAATTTATCATACATGTATATTTTATTTGTATTATGTTTTCTTAAACACCCATTCAAAAATAATTAGAAAATACTTTTGTCTATTGTTTTATTAATTTAATTCAAATGTTCTTTTATAAAAGATTGATAAGGGTAGTAGATCACTCTTAAAGTGTATTTTTATATTAAAGATATCCAAAACTGTGTTCTTATATTTATTTATTTATTTTTAATATATATCTATTTTAATTTAAATCTGAATTATTTATATAATGAAGTAATTGTTTTAAAATATTAATTTTCTTATACTTATAATACATTAAACTTTATTCTTTAGTCTCTTTTAACTTCCATTTTCTTCACTCATTTATAATAGATTAAAATATACTATTTCGAAAGTATCACGTACAGTTACTCACTTTTTAAATTTTGAATTAATTGTGCTATATAATTTTTTCAAATTTCACCTAAGTTAGTTTTGCAGACATTCTTATACTATTAGATATTTTAAAATTTGTTTAACTTATAATTTTGAAAATTAAAATACACCTGCGCAATATACAAGATACTTTGTTATTTTACCACTGATTTCCTTGCTTTTAGTATTTTCTTACTTTACTTTTATTTTTAATAAAAAAATGCACAACTTATGAAAGAACCATAAAAATTGCCTAAAATCTACTTTAACAGCGTTAGAGATCCTTGGACCAGTCCTTTGGAAATTAGTTGAAAAATCAATTTCAATGTTTTTTATAATGTAAAATACATGCTTTAATAAAATGTATAGTTTAAATTAATTTATGTATATATTTTTAAGTATATTTAGGAAGTTAAAATCTCAGTTCTCAATTTTAAACTAAACTAATAATCTAATATGTATTTAGTTGAGCACTTATGAAATTAATTTGAATCATATAATTAGTTTTAATTAAAACGAGTTTAAATTAAAGCGTTCAATGTTTATTTTTTAAAAAGTAAATTATAATAAAATTTAGCGTATTATAGTTAGCTCAAACTTAAATTTAGAAGTAAAATTAATTTAAACATAGAATTGACATACATGTTAACATAAATTTAAATTACTTTTTACTGTTTAGACCTGATTTTGAGAACTTTCGATGCTTATCCAAGTTCACTTTTAATCAATGTTTTTTTTTTTTAACACAGACACGATCATTGAATGAGATATCCTGGCTTATTACCCACACACACAAAAGGCATTGTTTGATTCTAAAATTTTTTATTATTATTATTATTTCACGCATAAATTAAAAATAATAATAAAATTTTTAAAAATAATATCATGTAAAAATTGTTTACACAACTTTTTTTAACTTTACTTTCTTACAATCTATAGATTGATTGAGTGACGATTGGGAACTAGCGCATTTCTAACAAGGATAATTCTACTTTTGTAAAAAGATCGAAGATAACAAACCGACCTTAGCTCAGTTGGTAGAGCGGAGGACTGTAGTGGGATCACCGCCAGATATCCTTAGGTCGCTGGTTCGAATCCGGCAGGTCGGAGTTTTCTCTTATTTATCCTCAAAAAATTATTTTGCTTTTTGTTTTCTCATTAGAATAAAATTAAAATACAAGTCTTATAAAGTATATTTGTACTATATATAGCTTGAACCTCAATTACCATAAATTGTTCTAAATTATAGTTTTATTTTTTGCTTGTCATTTGTATATATAGCTTGATTTCGCGTTCAAGTCACTGGCGTTATTCTCTTGTACTTGAATTTAATTTATAGCCTTCTGCAAACAAAGATGTGACAACAGGTATATATTGTCTCTTCATCACTCACATTTTCTTTATTTATTCCAAAATTCAAATTATAGGCAGGAGGCAAAAACTAAAAAGAAATTCCATCTATTTAAGCATCAACAATTTCCTCAGTGCCAGCAGAAGCCAAAACAAGTTCTGGTTCTTCCCTTCCAACTCCACACGTTCCATCAATTGCGTTGTTCCTCCCCAATGCCTTCAATGCCAAATGAGCTGCCTTCTGCCCTGATATCATCATCGCCCCAAATGTTGGACCCTACAAAAATCACCAACAAAATCATCAATATCTATGACAAGATACTGTTCAACATGTCTGCGATTAATAAATAATAACAACTAAGGTATTTGTATAGTTAAGAAGAAAATTAAAAATAGTGTACCATTCTTGGGGCACCGTCAATTTCTGCAACTTCCATGCCAGTAACGATCATGCCAGGAACAATTTCCCTAGTCAGGCGAACAATAGCATCCTCGGCTGTATTCATATCGAGGGCCTTCATTCCAGGGACACTATCAATCATACCAATAGTCTTCAACCTCTTAACCCCAGTGGCACCAAAAGGTCCATCATGTCCACAAGAGCTCACAACAACCTTAGCCTCCATAACGTTGGGGTCCATGCAAGATTGCGTGTCATGGTTCATAGAAACCAAAGCCCAATTGGTCACAACCCCAACAACTCTCCCTCCCTTCACGATCAAATCCTCCGCAGCCACGGCGTTGAAGAGCTTCACGTTAGGCCTTGCCAAAAGCCTGCTCATGATGGTAGAGGTGAACAACGCCGCGTGCTTTATGACAACGTAGTCCTCTTGTTCGTCGTAGGAGACACCGAGCTCGTCCAGGAAGAGGTGTGCGGGTTTGCGAACCACCATGGCGGAGAAGAGTTGGCCGCCGAGCCACGCGCCGCCGCCGGGGCTGACGGATTGTTCGATGATTGCGACGTGGATGGAGGGGTTCTTGCTGAGCTCGTAGGCGCAGGAGAGACCGGCGGAGCCAGCGCCGACGATGACAACGTCGGTGTCAGCGTAGGTTATCATGTCGGTCATGTAACGACGTGTCATTTCGCGAGAGACGATGGATTCTTTGATGGGTTGGAACTTGAAGGATTGGAAGTCGTAAGGGGGTGGGTTTAGGGACATGGAGATTGTGGGTTGTGAAGTGGATTTGGTGGCTGTGATGCGGGAAATGACAGGCCTTCCGTGGAATGACGTGGGCTTGGGTTCGAAGAATGAGGATTTGGGGTTTGAAGATAGAGATGAGGTGAGGGTTGTGGTGGCCATGGTTGCCATTAGAGTGGTTCACTACGTGATGGGTTTTTGGATATTTGGATTGTGTTGTCTGTTTGTTATGGAAGAGAAAGGTTATAGTAGTTAAGAATGTAGTAGTGGAATGGTTTTATAATCAGAAGAGGGAGTGATGGGGTTCGCGATGAGGGAAATATCTGATTGAAAAATCTAGAAAATGCTTGCTTTCTGAGTGATGGAGATAGAATTTGAACGGTTCAGGAAGGCTTCTACTTCGGATATTTTCATCTGAATTGACTCGTATGTTTTCCAAATCAATATTCATGGTTTATAATGACGAAGCTGTTTCATCAGTTTGCTGTTGGTTGATCAAAAGCAATCTTTTTAACATTCAGACAAAACTTCGTACAGTAAGTTATTTGGATATTTATGATTATGATATTAACTTTTAATTTAAATTAGGTTTGATGAAATTTTATTCTGAGTTTCCAAACTTCATAAACATAGCTCCGTATACATCTATGAAATCAATGTTGATTCATCATTAACATGCTTTTTATAAATTACTAAATTAAGTATACTATTTACCGCAAAGGAAAGTATTTTTATCTTGCACATCTAATTTTAAAAAGGTTGATTTTCCATTTCTTGTATTTTTGCTTTGTGAAGAATTCAAGCAAAGCTTGAGAAAGTTCGTAATTTTTTTTTTTTTTAAATTTCAAGTATTACAAATTTGAAGTCGCACTTTAACTGCTTTTTAATTTAAATTACTTGGATATTTATGTTTATGATAGTATTTTTAATTAAAATTAAAATTTTACTTTAATAATATATTTAATTCTTTATTAGATCAAAATAAAATTTAAGTTTAATTAAAAAGTAACACTTCAAAACCATATTTAAATAGCAGTGGCGACTGGATATTTGTTCATGTAAAATGGATTTTATAAAAAAGAAGAGAGAGTGATGGGATCGGCACGAGTGAAATATCTTATTGAATAATCTGGAAAGTTGTGTTTTTTGAGTGAAGATAGCATGTGAACGGCTCAGCAAAGTTTCCATTTCGGATATTTTCATGTGAATTTACTCATGTTTTCCAAATCACGTTCGTCCTTTATAAAGGCGAAGCAATTTTCAGTTTTCCTTTGCTTGAAAAGTAAATTACCAAACACTCAGGCAAAAAAAAGTAGCAGCAAGTTACTTGAAATTTTATATTTATGATAGAATTTTTAATTAAAATATAAATTATCTTTTACCAAATTTTTAATTCTTTATTATATCAAAATAAATTTTTAATTTAAATTCCAAAGTAATACTTAAAATACTATATTCAAATTTTATCTGTAATTATATGGTAAGTTAAATAATTATGAAGTAAAATAATTTGTCCAAATAATTATACAAATATATTAAAATATTGAATATTAAATTGTTAATCATTATTTATTCTTTTTCATCTAATTATTTTATTTTGTAATAATTTTACTGGAACATAAAAAGTTTTGAACTCTTTAAATAGTATAATAATATTTTATCACCAAACTAAACAAATATGGTAAACTCTAGGTTCCCCGGTGACAGGTTATGGATTTCCCTGATGCATACGGCTTTGTCATTGTCCACAAACGTGGCTCAAGTACATCTCGTTCATACAAAAAATAGTACATCTCGTTAATGATTCTCGCAACTTTTTAAGACTCGAAGTTAACAAGTACATTTGCTTACACTGCGTCAGAAAAAAGTATTGACATAAGTTACAGAAATAAATTTATTTTCTATAAATTTGGTTTAATAAAAATTGAACAATAAGTATAAAGAGAAATTAGTAAATTACACTATTATAACTTATCTTCATATCATTTAATAATTTCGCATTAGATAAATTTATTGCAAAATCAATTGTTAAATTGAAATTTCTATCTTGTAAATCAAAAGTATGTTAGGTCGATAAGAAATTTATTTAATACTTTATCTAAATACCATAAATCGTATAAATCAATTATATTTAAAAAAATTTAATATATAGTTAAATGATAGAAAAAAAGTTTGATGCATGTTGTTGTTGGGCTCCTTTGCAGTGACTCGGAAATGATAAATTCCTGAACTTTTAACCTAAAAAAAAAAGTGAGTCTATTATGTTACCGATGAATTCATTTTTCACTGCAAAACGTAATTCTGCACCATAACGATAAACAAATTATTTATAACGGGTGAGTAGCACAAAATTATTTGCAGTATACGATAAGTTTAATTGATTCAAAATGACAGTAATATTATTGTTTATTCATTTTGAAAAGAGACTTTTTCTTTAAAAAAAATGGTAGTCTAAAAAGAACGGAAGTAATTTGTCTTCCACTTTCAAGAATCAAATATTAAGAGCATGTTTATATTACATTTTATTTTAAAAAAATATTTTTAAAAAGGAAACAAATATATCCTAAACTTTTTAAAAGAATTGTTAAATTTATTTACAAAAAATTGAGGTCGAGCCACGTGTATTTATTTAATAGAAGAAGTAAACATAGCATAAATCCAAAATTAGAAAAGATGACAGCTGTGGGATTTGAACCGACGCCCTTTCGGACCAGAGCCTAAATCTGGCGCCTTAGACCACTCGGCCAAACTGTCTGGGTGTTGCAGACTTATTTGCTTATATTTATCTGACTTGCTTCTTTTCGGTGCTTTGTCCTTGTTGCTAAGAATACTGTTCGTTAAAAAAATATATACATAATATATATACATATATGTATTCTTTCAAATTTTCAAAAAGTATTCCATCTTTTAAAAGTAAATCAAATAATTTAATAAATGAAGATATTATTTTTTTTTATGTATTTTGTGTCTTAAATAATATTTTAAAAATTAAACTAATTGTTGAATCGGTAAATGAACTAATTTCATTAGTTTAGGCATAGTTAAATCTTGATCTAATTATAAGCAATAAAATACAGCTACGCGTGCACACACATGTAATATTGTATAATATATAAAATTATAAATTAATATAAAAAATAAATAAACAAATTAAATTTGATATAAAATTGTTGTATTATAAATTAAAAATCACGACATTAATTTATGGCAAAGGCGTCATAGATTAGTGCTACTGAGTATTGTATCTCGTTGAAGAAAAAAGACAAACACTATTATGAAGTTTGGAAATAATTGTTTATTAATTACTACTTACAAAATTCTTTATATTGAAGTGATTGAACTATAATACATAATAATCTCTTTTTTTTTTTTCAAATGAATAAAAACAATGTTGTAATTTAAATATCGTTTTAAAAATATATAATTTTATATTTAAAATTAAGCTTATAAACTCTAATCCAACCACGTAATTATCAATTGAATCAAAATATATAAATCAAATCAAAATGCGAATGCATCTTTTTTATACATATATTAGAATTATTGACTTCTTTTTTTTTATCGTTACAAGTATGTGTATATATATTTATTTAAATTAATATTTAAGACTACCATATATTTATCATATTAATTAATCATTACGTGATATGTGATCAAGTTATAATTATAAAAAAAAATGTTATTGAAAAAAACCATGCATTACGTGATGATTGATCAATACCGTAAACATGCAGTAGCATCTGATCAGGCGATAATTTTTCGGGACATGGGTTTAGATTGAAGTATATATTCAAAGTTAAACATTGATAATTCACATATATATGCGGTTTGGACTACTTATAAAACGCACGAACCGCTTAGCAGCATTTGAAACGGCGGTGAATCATGGTTTATTGGTTTGAAACCAAACAAAACCGAAAATTTGGACTATAAATGTGTGTATTATTTTGGAGTGAAGCTTAATCTAACACCCAACCAAACATATTTTAATTGTTTGCTCAGCTAAAAAATCCCAACCTTCCTAGTATTCTGTGTATTTGATTTTTCCTTAATACAAATACTCGAGTATGTAAAATGGAAAAGTAGTAATCAATCATTTTTAACAAACGTACGTTAAAGTGTCTCAGTTAAGCAAACGCAATTAATATGTCTAATGGATTAATTATAATTATGTGCAGCATAGAACGAATATACATAGATGGTAGTCGGTGCCTAGTCACTGAATGGAATGACCAAATTAGAATGATCACGTTCTTACATGTAATGTCTGGACCCACCTCCATTTTCATTCTTATGCAGCTAGTCTGTACAACCATTGCAATTTGCAAATGCAGCCTGGCCATGGTCCCACTCCCACATCTGTTTTCTACATTACTATTGCTTCATTATAATGGTATTGCATTATTGTATTTCTTCATTTACCGATATACCCTTGTCTTAACCGATTAATCATTTATAAATAATAAGAGTCACACTTATAAAAGTATTAATAATTTTTTTTATTAAAGATACATACGAAATTACAAAAAAAAAGTACATTATTAATTTTAATTCTTTGAGAACACCTGTAAACATTTGTAAAAAGAAAATAGTTCTTTTGCTTTCAAACTCTTTACAATATGTTCTCTCTCTCTGTTTGTTTTTAACCATTTCAATGATGTGAAGTATACTTGAAGAATACGACCACCGCTGAAAATTATATACGGTATCACTGTCTGCAAGATAAATACAGTGGTGTGGATACTTTATTCATGAATGGGCACATTTGTACATTTGACATGTAATAAACAAATAAATGTAGTATCAATCTAAACAAAACAGAACAATAGCATATGACGTTACAACTGGATGTGCAAAAATCATATTCAAAGTTATGATCATTTAATGAACTGCCCCATCTCGGTTTCTGAGATCCAGCTGAGAAACCCTCCATCCTCCTCCCACCCAGAATGGATGCAAGGGACTCTTCTTCAGTATCTATGATTCTTCTTCTCCTTGCAGCTATTGTGGTTGCTTATTTTCATTCCTCAGAAGCAGCTGTATCCAAAGGATCTTTTGAGGATAATTTCAGTATAATGTGGTCTGAGGATCACTTTACTACTTCTGAAGATGGACAGATCTGGTATCTCTCCCTAGACGAAGACACAGGTACCAAATGCATGACATTGAAATAGACATTTTGTTAAGCATGCATTCTGTAATCTGTATTATGATTTGATTTGAAGAACTTGAATTGTTAGCATCAAATTTGAGACTTGAGGCCGTTTCTGAAGCATTCACTGTTTGATAGGATGTGGGTTTCAAACAAAACAACGCTACAGATTTGGGTGGTTCAGTATGAAGCTGAAGTTAGTAGGAGGAGACTCTGCTGGGGTTGTGACAACTTATTATGTGAGTGTGCAAAGCATTGAGATGTGACCACATACTCTCTTTTTGTTGGCTAAAATTTATTAACAACCACGAATAAAAAAATAATAAATTTTATGTAATTTTTGTATTCTTCAATAATTTTTATCTTATACTAATAAACGTGTTGATCCCAGCATTTCTCTTGAAATATAGTAAATTGTGCTTCTTTGAAGAGTTCCTCTCTATGTTTCTATCTTCAAATTGGAGGGAAGTTGAGAAATGTGGTGAATTGTGGCAGATGTGCTCGGAGAATGGTGCAGGGCCGGAAAGAGATGAGCTTGACTTCGAGTTTTTGGGAAACAGAACAGGGGAGCCTTATTTGATTCAGACTAACGTGTACAAGAATGGGACTGGAGGGCGTGAGATGAGGCACATGCTGTGGTTTGACCCCACTGAGGACTATCACACTTATTCCATCCTCTGGAACAACCACCAGATAGTGTAAGTTTCATATTTATCCTCGCAGATACTACTCTAACGTGTATTCTTATTACCCAAACCTCAGAGTAAAAAGAGTGTAGATGTTATTCAAAACGTTGGTTTAGGAGCTGAGATGGTAATACCACCCTTTATGCTGTTGTCGGTTTAAACTTCAAAGCTTCTCTCTCAATTGTCAAAAGTAGCATAAAGTACCCGTACTAGCGTGGGCCTAGTGTTATCATTATTGCCAGTTTGTCATGCATGTTTGGTATATCAGCATGAGTAAAACCTTCAATGCAAGAGGGTTTTTTTTTTTTAAAGAATCCTAATTTTCAAAGGTAAAAATGAATAGTATTTAAAACGGGATGTTAAACTTTATTTCTAAACCACTTTTTGCTATTGGTATACGGTTAATACCCAGTGTTGTTAACCTTCATATTTTATATAAATTTAATGAAAACCAAATTTGAATACCAGTTTCAATTTTGTGAAGGTTAAAACTAACACATTCGTCTAGCCTAGGTACTTTTTTCTAAGTTGGGTGAATAAAATTTTGTTGACTGGATGATGCAATTAATTGTAAACAGGTTTTTTGTGGATAGAGTACCCGTAAGGGTGTTCAAGAACAATGGGAACCCAAATAATTTCTTCCCCAATGAGAAACCCATGTACTTGTTTTCCAGCATATGGAATGCAGATGACTGGGCCACAAGGGGTGGACTTGAGAAGACAAACTGGAAATTAGCTCCATTTGTGTCATCCTACAAGGATTTCAGTGTGGATGGTTGCCAATGGGAAGACCCTTATCCTGCTTGTGTCTCAACAACAACCAAAAATTGGTGGGATCAATATAAAGCTTGGCACCTCTCAGACGATCAGAAAATGGATTATGCTTGGGTTCAGAGGAACCTTGTGATCTATGATTATTGTGAGGATTCTGAACGTTATCCAACTGCGCCAGAGGAGTGTTCATTGAGTCCATGGGATTAATGTATCAAGGGAAAAAAATCCTTATTCTTTTATAGCTCTTTTTCTGCCTCATAATTTTTTAGTTAACCATAAGATAATGTGCAATTTGTAAGCTATTAAAGTTTGGGAATTATGTAGGTTTAAAATCTGCACAATCAATTTGATTCATTACATTCCAAATCTCAATCGTTTTTTATTTTGGTTTTCCCCTCGGCTTCCTTCCTCCTAAATACTTTACAATTTACAATAACTATAAAAGCATGATTAGAGAAATGCATAAACTAATATTATAACCTGTCAAAATCTGTATCCAAATTCATGTCGAATCAACAAATGTTATCCACGAATGAGTTTTCTAATACACTTTCAACCTGTTTTCACTTTTAGGAATGATTCAAGGCTTCTTAACAATTAAAGTTGTTCCCTAATTATTATTATTACAGGAAGGTAGTAATGAAATAAGGAGTAAAAACAATGATAGATAGTTACGTGGTTCAAAATTCAAATAGAGAACCTCATTTCCTTTAGTTTATTGGAACAATACCTCACTTGTTCGATTCGAAACTTAAATGCTCATTGTCACATTACTAGGAAGACTTTTATTTGTCTTACCTTTAAGCATTTTTTAAATTAGATTAACAGCGCGCGAAAAGCTTGGAATAATAATATAAACACGTATAGTTTTATTCGTTTAAATTTTGGTCTTTATAGTTTTTATTTGATATATCTTTTTATATTTCTATTCATCTGTGTTTTAATTTTTTGAGAATTAAAATTAAATAAAAATATTATAAAATTTTTATTGATAATATCATAATTACATTTAAATTGATTCATTTTATTATTGACTTATTTTTAACATGAAATTTTAATTAATAAAATATCGGAAAATGTTTATTTTAGAGGGGAAAAAATATTTTAGATATCCTTTACTAACTTATCTTTATATTAACATTTTTTGTTATACCTTTACATTTTTTTATTTTAAAAAATAAAATCAATACCACATCATATTTTTATTACGTAAACCAAAAAAGAGAGGAATTGAATGATCTTCCTTTTTTCTTTTTTTCGTATGTTATGATTTTATCTATTTTAAAATAAAATATATGTATTTTTATTTTATTTAATAAAATAAAAAAATATTTATGCTATTTTTTATTTTTATATATGATACATAAAGAAAGTTAAATTAAATTATCTTAAATTTCATTTAAAAACTTAAATACGTTTAATTTCTTCAAAATAAAAAAAAATGAGTAAAATAAAAATTATCATTAATTTAAACTTATGTATTTGTAAAACATAATTAACTTTAAAAGAATAACAAATAATTTTTTTTTCCGTAAAAGAGGCAAATCTTATAATAAAATTATCATGAGAAGATATCGCGGTTGAACGAGGAAAGGGTAATTTTGTCAATCCATTAAACAAAAAATTGATAGACGAGTGGGGAGTCGTCGCGAGATCAAATCAGTAATTTGGGGCATAGGGTTCACTTCTGTTGTGATTAGGGATCCGAATTTTGATAATCGAATCGTAAAATTCATTATCAAATCAGTAATCAGAGCCATTAACGACTGCAATGGTCTGCGAGAAGTGTGAGTTTCTCCTCTTGCTCTTCAACCCATGATTCTCGTTCTCTGTCTCTCCGTCAAAATTTTTGTTGGTAATTTGAATTTGGGGTTGCAGGTGAGAAGAAGTTATCGAAGGTGATAGTGCCTGACAAGTGGAAAGAAGGAGCTAGCAATACTACCGAGGGTGGTGGCCGCAAGATCAACGAGAACAAGCTTCTCTCCAAGAAAAACAGGTACTCTTTAACCTTCAACTATACATAGCTTAATGTTTTTTTATTTTTTTCATTTTTTTCTTAACTTTAAAGTTGGGTATACGATGAGTAATTTGGCTCTGTAACTTGTATATTTAATAATTAGCTGATAACATGCGAAAGTGAGCCTTTCTAGTTTATAGCTGGAGTTTTAAAATGTAAGTTACTTTACGCTTGCTCGATATTATTATAAGTTTGTGATGGAGATTTTGGGATAAAAATCAGTTTGCACCGTGGAAAATTATTTTCATGTTATCCTCTATTTTCACCTTTGAATCTCAGTGCTATTTGTGCTACTATATCTCCTTTATGTTGAAATAGTAAGTCATGGAGGAGCAGTCTTCTAAGGAGTTGGCTGGGTTGAACCTTTTAGGATGAGTTTCACCCTTGGAACAGTAACAATAGGTTTTGATGCTAGTATGCATCGCTTTATGAGGTGCTATGTATGCATGTCTGTTCTCTGTTCTGGAGATATTGGTCCTTATATTCCCTTCACAATTATGTCACCACATACTTGGTTTGATGGTTAGAATATAATATTCCTTCATCTTCTTGTAGGGCAATGTGTTTTTACATATAGGTTTGTAATGGCTGTATGGTAGAAGTTGAGAAAGAAACCTACAGAACTAGTTAGCTGTTCTTATTAAATATTTTTTATAAAAAGGGGAATTGATTGTTCACTTTGACTAGAACTTGATTTTGTAATTAAATTTTCTGTATGTAAATATTGCTTGGATTTTTTAACACAATTACATTTGTTATACATTGCATTCTATTTCCTAGCTTTTGTGGTATGGGCTCTCCACAATTCTATCCTGATCACTTTTTACCCCCTATAATTTAGTTTTGCTTCAAACTTCATGTTTTTAGTCATTGCTATTTATACATTTTAAACTGGATATCTGTGTTTTGATTGATGTGGCTCTTGGGAAAATATTTTTAATTCAATGAAGTGGCTCAAACTTCTGAACTGCTTGGACATGTGCACCAATCCATCTTAGCATCTTATATTCAGTATCTTGTTGTAATGTCTGTGGACCTAGTATTGGACTTATAAATGATACTCAGTACACTCAGGACTATAGGCACTGTTACTAGACTTTCATGTTATATATCAGTTGATGATGACTATAAGTATGGTTCTTGCTTTTAATGGCTTAATAGCTGTCCATAAACTGGGGACTTGAATGAGGGATGTGTCATTCCTTTTCGTAAACAAGTATGCATTGAGTCTTGCACTTATAAATCTTTCGAAATACCATCAGAAACATTTTATCCAATAATCTATTGTACCTTTGCTGCTCTAATTACTATTCCTTTTTCTCCTTTTGTAACTGTTATTTGTTCCCCCATGCAATGTTTCAGTCATTAATACTGTGAAGAGTGTTCTTATCTTAAATTGATTGTTTGTAGATGGACCCCTTATGGAAACACCAAGTGCATCATTTGCAAGCAGCAAGTGCACCAGGATGCTAAGTACTGCCACACTTGTGCTTACACTAAAGGTGCTATTCTATGTTGAGATGTTGTACATTTGCCACCATACATTTTTCACTTTGGTAACTAGTTAAATGTGTTCTATCATGAAAGTGCATGACTCAATTCCTGGTGTATTTTGTATTGCAGGAGTCTGTGCAATGTGTGGCAAGCAAGTTCTTGACACCAAGTTATACAAACAAAGCAATGTGTAGTGGATAGTGGTACTGTGCTGCGTGCCACATCTTCTCTTAGATGCATAATATCATTGGCCTTCTTTCTAATTGTCTAGTTGGTCATGTTGCTAACTCTGTAACTGAAGCTGTAAAGAACAAATACAGAGAGGGATTTTCTGTTATCTCTGTCTTTTGAAATGTATTTGTGGAATATTTATTCCAGATTCAAAACATGTATGCCCGTGGCGTCAAATTCCTGTTCTTTTCAGCATTTATGATACTGTTGGGTTGGTTATCTTGCTAAAATCCTCATTTCAACACGGATTATGCCTATACCTTATAATAAGATAGCAAACAAAGATGGATAGGAGTTGCTTAATATGATTTGTGCTACTGATTGCCTCCTAGGTGGTTCATTGAGTTTAAGAGTCAAGAATTTAACGCATTTTTCTTGTATTAGAACGATTAATAAAATGCATAAGAATTGGAATTAATTACGTATTACTTAAGTTAATGTAATCGATGGAAGTAGAAGTTGTTTCGTAGCAGGTTAGAGGGATATCCTCATTTCAGCGCTACTAGTGCGCTGTATGCTGAGTAAAATGCCAGAAGAAATGGGCTCACATTCCTCATAATAAATAGACCATGTAGGCTACTCTGCATGTTAGGATGCTTTACAAACTACAAAGCGTTTGTGCCAACTTTCTTATATAAGACATTTGCCTGTTATTTCTGCTCTGTTTTCTCACGGGACAATGGTCATTATTCAAGTATTCAACAGCTACTGAGCAGGATCTCTTGTATTAACCCAACTCATAAAGTCCAGATAACCAATAACGATATACTTCTTTGATAAGTCATTTAAGAAAGGGGGAAGGTGCTTGAAATTATCACTTTGTTGATGAAGATCATGCACCAGTTTACGGACAATTAGTCATCTTTCTGCCCTCAATTGAATCATGAATTATTACTGAACGTTCAAAATTGCTGAACTATATAATTATAATGCAATAGATCCTTTTAAAAATATACTCATAACGCCATGAAATACTATAATACATGCGAATAAATATGAAATATGTTTGCTATATAACCCATTATTATATTTTTAAAATTTTAAACAAAATTCGGGAAAATATTGGTAGCATTTATGCATGTTTGGTACTTAAAATGTTTACACACTAACAGGCACATTCATTCACTCATTCAAAAACATTTTAAAATAGTTTTTTTTATTAAGGAAAGTTTCCGGTCGGCGGCCAGATAAATAAACTTTTTGAAATGTAAAAATCACTAAAATAGACTTTAGCTCTCTTAACAAAATATTTTTTATTTACATTTTTGCATTGTAAAAGCTAATAATCACAAGATTTTTATATCAAATAAGGGCTAAGGAATATTAACTTTTCCTGTAGAAGAGAGGATGACAAAAAAATTGATTAAATAATTTGAATATATGCAACGCACATCATTCAAGATTTCAATGAAAAAGATTAATTGTTTCAACGTTAAACCAAAAATGAGTAGAGGAAGATATAAAAGTTATAAAAAGCATATCATAAATTATATTTTTAAACTATAATTTTTAATGGAGTCCTGAGGCTCGATAGTGTCGTCAATGTGATTTTACTCGGTGAAATAAGGGTTGTATTAAAAGGGCTGTGAACATAATCTCAATGTGCTGCTGTCCGCAACACAATTTGGAAATATGTACCATGGGAATGCAGAAAACTTGCACCTTGCTTTTCGTCTACGCATGTTTCCTAGAAGCTGTGGTGCCATGTATTCTTTCATCGATGTTTTTACCTTTTTATGCATGAGAATAGTATTAGCTGCCCGCATCTTCAGCAGCAAACTGAAACTTACATCACAATATTTTAAAGCAGATCACGTCATATCTCTACCTGCCCCAGGACTCTAGATCCTTTTCATCAAGCCTGTGGATTAACGTTTTACAAATTTACGTGCCTAAACACGGAATCGTAGCGTAACAATGAACACCACAATTTTGACCGAATAACACCATCCAATTGCACAAAACACCTTCACACAATCTTTACTGATTCCCAACCTCCTTCACACCACACCTTCCGAACCAAAAATTATACAATCTACTCAATTTCAAGCTCTCCGTCAATTCGTCAGATCAGGAGCAGATTCATCTTTACAAGATGTTCAATATCGCAACTGATAGTTGATTTTAACATAATACGCATCCATCACAAAAGATAAAATTGATACACTGTACATAACGTTCATCACACACTGGTCAATAGCAAAAGAACTGAATTTATTAATCGACGACAGAAGTTGACTACAAACCAAGTTTATTTCATAGAGGGTCAATACAGACCCATTACACATGCACAATTTCATAATTTTGCAACCATCCAACATCACAACGAGAAAGCCCACAGCTTAAAATCCACCACGAAGACGCAGGACAAGGTGAAGGGTAGACTCCTTCTGAATGTTGTAGTCAGCAAGAGTCCTCCCATCCTCCAACTGCTTCCCTGCAAAGATCAACCTCTGCTGGTCCGGTGGGATGCCTTCCTTGTCCTGAATTTTGGCCTTGACATTGTCAATAGTGTCAGAGCTCTCGACCTCAAGGGTAATTGTCTTCCCAGTCAAGGTCTTCACAAAAATCTGCATACCACCCCTGAGACGAAGGACAAGGTGAAGGGTAGACTCCTTCTGAATGTTATAGTCAGCAAGGGTCCTACCATCCTCGAGCTGCTTCCCAGCGAAAATCAACCTCTGCTGGTCCGGTGGGATACCTTCCTTGTCCTGAATTTTGGCCTTGACATTGTCAATAGTGTCAGAGCTCTCGACCTCAAGGGTAATGGTCTTCCCAGTCAAGGTCTTCACAAAAATCTGCATACCACCCCTGAGACGAAGGACAAGGTGAAGGGTGGACTCCTTCTGAATGTTATAGTCAGCCAAGGTGCGTCCATCTTCAAGCTGTTTTCCAGCGAAGATCAGCCTCTGCTGGTCTGGGGGAATACCCTCCTTATCCTGGATCTTGGCCTTCACGTTGTCAATTGTGTCCGAACTCTCCACCTCGAGGGTAATAGTCTTACCCGTAAGAGTCTTCACGAAGATTTGCATGCCACCCCTTAGACGAAGGACAAGGTGAAGAGTGGATTCCTTCTGGATGTTATAGTCAGCCAAGGTGCGTCCATCTTCAAGCTGTTTTCCGGCGAAGATCAGCCTCTGCTGGTCCGGGGGGATTCCCTCCTTGTCCTGGATCTTAGCCTTTACGTTGTCAATGGTGTCGGAGCTTTCGACCTCAAGGGTGATGGTCTTGCCGGTGAGGGTCTTCACGAAGATCTGCATGCCACCGCGAAGACGAAGGACGAGGTGAAGGGTTGACTCCTTCTGGATGTTGTAGTCAGCGAGGGTGCGGCCATCCTCGAGTTGCTTTCCGGCGAAGATGAGACGCTGCTGGTCCGGGGGAATTCCTTCCTTGTCTTGGATCTTAGCTTTGACGTTGTCAATGGTGTCGGAACTCTCAACTTCGAGAGTGATGGTCTTTCCTGTGAGTGTCTTGACGAAGATTTGCATCTGCAGAAAACAGATTAATCAAAGTCAAACAACCGCCGCGAAAATCAATTAGTTTACCCAATTTCAAGATCGGATCTGACGGATTACATGAGAAAACCCTAATTAGCTAAGAATAGAATCTAATCTGTGGTTGATGAATCAATCACCAAGGCTCAACAAAGACCAGATCTGAACAGGAATTTCGGATCGATAAAGCAATTCAAACCCCATCAAATGAAGTTTCAGCAGATCGCAATTTTTTATTAAAAAAAGGCTAACTTCAAAAACTAACCGAGAGATCCTCAACAGACCAGGAACAAAGAATTTAAAAAACGAATCAACAGATGAAAAAAGAAAAGGAATAGAACATACCTTGAACAGAGAAGTGTAAAGAAATTGAACTGGTTTGATTAGAAATGGATCGCGAATAAATGATGAAGGGTTGGGGGCATTTTATAGCAAAAGCGGTGGGGCCCTTCTCCATTCATAGTGTGACGCGTGTCCAGCACTGTTTGTGATGCAGATGATGTTTGGTATCGGATGCGTTTTCGGGGAGTCCTTCTCGGAAATTGAGAATTGCAAATTGCAAAAGTAGTTGGCAGTTACGTAATCTTGACGGAGTCAGATCTGCCTACTTCACCTTTCCCTCAATCGTTACAACGCCGTTATTATTATTGGGCTACACGTCATATTTTGGGCCCGCCCATTGCAAGTGGAGCGTTCTCATGTTTTACAGTATGCCCTCCAGTCTCCATCGTTGGACAGCCGGCTACTATGTTAGATTATTAAATTATATTCAAAAGCTGCCGTTTTAGAATTTTTTCCATCGACCAAAACAAATTGCAACATTAGGTAACTATGTCTATTTTTATTTACATTTTATTTATGAATCAGCGAAATATTTAGGAGCTTTTCAAAATAAATTAATATAAATATTCTTTGATTTTTTATACGAAAACCATCTCTCTTGTCTGTAATTTTGCCTTTTGTGTATTATTAAATGAAATTTACTACTGACAGTTTAGGGAAGATTATTTAGTTTCTGATGAGGAGCTGTATTATGTTCATCTCTTAATAAATAAATGATGTAACGTGAAGGTAACGGAATCAACAATACCACGGCTGGATCAGAATATAAAATGAATAATACCGAAAGCAAAGCCGTTGAAGAAAGGAATAATGATATTATATCTACAAATGATGAAACTAGTTGTGGGATTTACATGAAATGATTTCAAAAATAGATAAATGGTTAAGATCAAACTTAATCTCGCTTGAATAAAAAGTTTATTTCTCAATATCTACAAATTAAAGATTAAACAAGACGAACTGTTTGGAGTGTCCATTAGTAAAAGGAAGTAGGAGGTTAACTGCGTTTTTCTCATTTCTTGTAAAAATAAAATTTTAAGGCCAACCTTTCAATTTTTTTATTTCGTCCTTGTCTAAATTCTAAACTCTTAAGCCCAGTTATCTAAAGTCCAATTTATAAACTTTCTGAAGACTTATGCACCTTTAAATCATTTTGTGTTTGCCTAAACAAAAGGAAAAGTAAGGCCCTTTTTGGAAAAGGAATAAAAAAGAGAGGCGTGCAATGGCTTATGAGGGAGCCCTGATCATGTTAGCCTGCGTGTATGTAGTATAATGTTTTATGGCTTTTCCACACGTATGGTAATACTCACTTCTTTTTGGTTTATAAGTTGGCCACACAATTTTTTAACATATTTTTTATTGTTATTTAAAATTTATTAAAATTATATGAATTTAATATTTTATTATTTATAATTTAATATTTATTTCTCATATTTTTATAATTTTTAATTAATAAAAAATATATACTTAAGACATTGTATTTCTAGCGCTGAACTTCTGTAATTTAATATTTTTTTATCCACGAATCTTTGAAAAACAAACACAGTATTATTCCATGAAGTATTTATGAATTTAGTATAACTTGCAAATTTTATTTGATCAAACTAAAGCATATTTAAAGAATGCAAGAAATTACAAAATTTGGACTTCGTTGAAGTTATTATATATATATATATAATTAAGTCGAAATCTCAAAATACAACTTTTCTTTTAGTTTATTTTAAAATTTTAATCACAAATTCACTCTTTAAACAAACAATTATTGTTTTCAAGTCTATTATTGAAGCTACTGGTTACTTATACTGTAGAATCATAAACATCAATAAATTTTGAAGAGAGTAAACATTAACTATTCATTCAACGAATAATCATATTCATAAGTTATCATTCACACAAATTATCCATTAATCTACAGTCAATAACATTTATACACAACAAGATACAATCACACATATATTAAAAAAAACTCGTTAAACATAAAATTGATATGAACTCAACTCATTTATATATATTTTATTGAAACATTTATAAGTTTATATAAAAGTTAATGATATACAATAATAACGAAACTAATCAAATAAATAGAGGAAGTATGGTTGTTCTGTATAACTCAAAAAGCAATCAAAATCATTAAACCATAGAATAATTATATTTTATGCTTTTTTTTAGTAATTGTGATATTATTTTTTATCAGTCGCTGAATGCATGTTTAAATTGCTTTGCGTCATATATCAGAAAAGACACCAGTAGTTAAGCGTGATATAGAACTCTCTCAATGCTTTTTTATTCAAAGCTGATCGAATGACAGTGAAGATTATACATTGCTATTTTCAAAGCTTGTATTTACACACAGCTAGTTCTACAATTCTTACATCTTATACAACAATAAACTTTCCCGCCAAATTACAAAAGCTTAACAAACTAACAAACTAACTGGTAATTTGGTATGAGTTAGTTAGCAGCAGAAACGTAGTGGCACGTGAAATACAATACTACTCTGGGGCTACTGAGTTGATGATCCTTTTTTTAGGTGGAATATGTTCTTGAGCAAGGGATCCATCGAAGGTTTCAATGGTGTCACCCTGCTGAACTCCGTGCCATCGAAACGACAGTTGTTCATCCATCGGAATCTGGTTGTGAATGAAAAAGTAGCGACGACCAGTGGGAAGACGAAACCGAAGCCTCTGGTGCAACTGTTCAAGCTTATCCTTCAACACTGCCACGTTATCCTCAGCATTTACCTCAATCGGTATTTTCTCTTTCGCGCGCATAGGCAACACCATCACCTTCAACTTCCTTTGCACTCTGCCACCGCCCTGTTTCGATGAAGAAGTGAATTGCGAAGGCGGAGCAGGTTTTTTGTACAAGTCAATCTCATTGTTAGGATATTCGAAAACATCGCAATCACCCAGCAACTGATGGTCAAGCAATTCAACATGCGTTCTATTCGACTGCAACACAATCCTATCCACTGGCACCGTTCCTGCGTAGTTTCCAACGTGAAGAAACTTCTTCAGCTCCAGAACGGTTTCGTCCACGTCCATTTCTACAGGGATACGATCTTTGTACGCTGGCACTTTCACATCCAGCACGATTGTCCTCGACGGCGACTCTATTTCTGGTTGGGGTTTCGTCGGAAACTCATTCTTTGTCTGCTCCACCTCCTCCTCCGTTGCAATCGACGGCAACTCTAATGCTGGTTGCGTTTTCTCCGGAAATTCATCCTTTATCTGCTCCACCTCCTCCTCCATCGTCGTCGACGGCGACTCTATTGGTGGCTGCGGTTTCGCCGGCAACTCATCCTTTGTCTGCTCCGCCTCCTCCTTCGTCGTCGTTGACGGCGACTCTATTGGTGGCTGCGGTTTCGCCGGCAACTCATCCTTTGTCTGCTCCACCTCCTCCTTCGTCGTCGTCGACAGCGACTCTATTGCTGGTTGCGTTTTCGCCGGAAACTCATCCTTTGTCTGCTCCACCTCCTCCTTCGTCGTCGTCGACGGCGACTCTATTGCTGGTTGGGGTTTTGCCGTAAACTCATCTTTTGTCTGCTCCACCTCCTCCTTCGTCGTCGTCGACGGCGACTCTATTGCTGGTTGCGGTTTCGCCGGAAACTTGTCCATGGTCTGCTCCATCTCCTCCTTTGCCGTCGTCGTCGGCGACTCATCCATGTCAATAATGAGTGAGTGAGTGAGTGACTGCAGGTTGAGAGTAAAAGAGAAATGGTATATTAATAAGCGTGGGAAATGGGTGGCGCACGCTAATTTTTAATAGTATCAAAGCGTCGCATCGCATGATGATGTTGATTTCATTTCCCATGACGAACCTTCGTGTGCTATATAGTTTCTGGAAACTTTTATCCTTTGGACGCCCAATACACGAAGTAGAAAGTAGATACGTTATTGCGTGTTTTTTTTTTTTTTTTACATCATAATAATTTTTTTAAAAAAATACTCCTTTAATAATTTAAATTATTAAAAATTTATAATTTTAAAAATAATTTATGAATTTAGGTTTATACACTTTTAAAATTAATTTTTTAAAATTATAAAAAAAATTTACATAAATTTATATAATTAAAATTTTGTTAACTTCAAGAGTTTAAGTATTTAAGTATTTATTAATAATTTTTTTATAAAAAAATATATAATTATTGCTTTGAGTTATAAAAATATAATAAATACTTTTTTTACTAAAATTTTATTATTATTAAATGCTTATCCTTAGCCTAAAGTTAATAAGACACATAATTAATATTTTAAATTTTTAAAAATTAATTTTCAAATTTAAATTTTCATAATTTTAAAAATTAATATTAAATATTTTTAAAAACATATTTTTAAAATTAAGATTATATATTTTTATAAATAAATTTTTAAAATTAAAATTTTAAACTTATAAAATTATTCACTATTTTTAAACAAATTAAATTAAGATTCTACATCTAAAAATTAATTTTCAAAAACAAGTTGTTTAAATTAAAATTATACATTTTTAAAAATTAATTTCCAGAAAAAGTTGTCATATTTTTTCAAATTAAAATTTTGCACTTCTAAAATTAACAATTTTTAAGTAAGTTTCTAAAATTAAGTTTTTAGAAGATTTTTTATAAAAAATTTTAAAATTTAATTTTGAAAGAAAAATGCAACAAGCAACCTTATCGGAGGTCTCTTCAAGCGGGTTTTTCTAATCTATTAAGGGTGCATGGCGTTTTGTTTATTTTTAAATAAAAATATAAAATTTAATAATTAAAAATAAAATTATATTTTTTAAAATAATAATATATAATAAAATTATTTTTAAAAATGATTTTATTAAAAAAATGTTTGAACTTTATTTTATAATTACAAATAATATATTAAAATGATAAAAATTTAATAAAATTAAATTTATTAAAAATAATTACGAAAAAGGGTAAGAATGTAATTTTATTAAAAATAATTAAACAAAAGTAGTACAAATTTTTAAAATGAAAATTTTCTATATAAATATAAATAAGCTCCATTTAGTCAAATCTAAATATTCATAAATAATTTAAAAAAAAAAAAGTGGTAAGAACAGGCCAAAGCCCACAAGACTTGAATATTTATTTAATATTTTTAACTGTAAGTTCTTTTCTTTTATGATTTTTGAACTGTAACTTGGATCTTTATAGATGCTAATAGAATTACATAATTTATTAAAATAAAATAAAGTTTCTACGACCAATTATCAAATTTTTTATTCGATCATTATCTAAATAAATAAAAAAATCTAAGGCCGAGTTTGCTCAAGCCCAATATATGGGAGAATCATGTTAGCCCAACTTCAAAAGAAGTGATGCAAAATAAATAGGAGAATCGTACAAAATGTATTCAACGTTTGATTTCAAAGATGAATGAAGGATATGGTTTTTCTATTTTTGAAGTTGTATTTACAAGCAGCTAAGCCCTGCCAGTTGTACAACTAGAGCATACTAACGAACTAACTAACAGGAAGGTTGTTATTAGTTACCACCTACCAATTAACAGAAGATACTGTTAACTGTTAAGATATGGATCCATCGAAGGTTTTAATGATGTCACCATTGCCAACTTGGTGCCACTTAAACGACTTTTTTTCGTCCATGGCACGCTGCCCGTGAATGAAAAAATAGCGACCATCTTTGGGAAGACGAAACCCAAACGTCTTCTGCAGCTCCTCCAGCTTCGTCCTCAGCACTGCCACTTTATCCCCAGCACTCACCTGTATCAATATCCTCTCTGACGTACGCATCGGCAACAGCATCACCGTTATCTCCGCATGCTTTATTATGGAACCACTACAATGATTACTAGTGCCAACACCATCCACCGGAAGCTGTTTCGGTGAAGGCAGAGGTTTTACTATCACGTTAATCTCGACTTCAGGAGGCTCTAATTCCGTGCAATCCTTCAGCAACTGCTGGTCAATAAATTCTTTTTTCGTTTTATGTGACTGCAACACAACCCTGTCCATTGCCACACCTTTCATGCCTTCAAGTTGAAGAATCTTCTCCTTCAGCTTAAGAAAGCTGTCTTTCCAATTCAATTCTACAGCGATACGATCTTTGAAGTGAGGCAATTGCACGCTCACTTTCCATGCCCATGATGGATGCGAGGGCGGGGGCGGTGGCGGCATTGGCTTTTGAATCCCTGGTTTTCTTTTTCTAGGCAGTTGGGGCTGTGACCCGGTCACGATAGCCATTTGCGGTGGTGAAGGTGGAAACTGCGTCGGGATTATCATTTGCGGTAGCGACTCTGGTGACTGTGGAAACGCTGGCATCTTCCCCGTCGACATTATCGTCTGCGGCAGTGACTGTGGAAACTCATGCATCTGCTGCGTCGCCATTACCGTTTGCGGCGGAGACTGTATACACGCTAGCATCTGCTGCGTCGGCTGCGACTTGGGAAATATTTGTGGTTGTGCCGGAAAGTCTAAGTTAGCCAGCAGCGACTCCATTATCTCCGGCGGCTCTGTCAGAAATTCTTGAATGAACATGTCCATGGCATCCATCGACGGCGGGAACTCGGGCAGCACGGGAGAGGCGGGGAGTAGGAGGTGAATGTGCGAGCCCTCATAGACTTGGGTTGTCCAGATGTCGAGATGGTCTTGGAGAACCTGGCCATTGAAGACGAAAGTTTGATCGGAAATTGGAATCCGTTGAAACTTTTGCACCTTCTCTTTGAGACGGAGAACTGTGTCGAAGGGTTCAACGGAAATAGTGAATGATTTGCCACCCTGGAGCTCTAAGATCACATCCATCTGTCAATAACGAGTCCTCATTTGGAGACTAGCGTCCATGCTCGCTATATACTTTCTGGAATCTCCAATAACCCAAGTTCGAAGAGTTCAATAATTGAAATCATTAAATAAAAAATTTAATATTTTGATAAAATCTAATTATATCAATTTAATATATTCGTATTTTTTGCACGTACATTCGATGCCTAAGTTAAATACACACTTTTAAAAATTTTTAATTGGATAAAAAATATTAAATAATTTTTTAAATTAATAAATATTTTAAAATATTTTTTTGTTAATTTATACCTTTGATGGACAAGATATAAATTTTTTAATAAATTTTGTTTATGGAAACAGTAAAAATCACTTAAAATTTATTTATAACAACAGTTTAAGGATTTTTTTATTATAAATTTTGATTAATTGTGTTATGATTAATAAGATTCTTATATTTTATTTTAAAAATTTATATTCTTAATTTTTTAATCATATGTTATATTGTTATGAATGATGAAAAGAGAACATAGATAAAGAAAGATGGAGAAAATATATTGAGAGTTTGACTAAAAATTAACACTACTTAAAAAAAATAAAAATAAACGTTAAGTGTATTAAGATGGAGATTACTCTTCACTGCATTAGTTGGAGACTGAATGAACAGCAACGGAAGCCACCGAGTGACAATGTACACAGCTTTTACTAGGCCTTACGCATCACTAACTGATGAAGTTGTATCACATAAAAACTAAGTTTGACGCCAAATTAAATTTTAACAAACAAACAAAATCCCTTAACCTAAGTTACTATTTACCAGTTTGCGACTGAATCTCGCTCATGTTTGGCGATGCTATATTTTTCTAGCGTTAGAAAGAAATTGAATGTTTTTGGTTAATGAATTCGATTAATATCCAGAAATTCCAATGGTGTCACCCGCTTGAACCCCGTGCCACTCAAACGGCATACTTTCATTCATCAAACACTGCTTGAAAGTGAAACAATAATGTCCATCTGAGGGGATAACACTGTTATCCAAGTTCATCTTCTGCAGCTGCTTCTTCAAATCCAACACTTTACCCGAAACGTTTATTTCTAACGCTATATTATGTTCACCGTTCTTGGGGGACACCAGCACTATCACCTTCCTTGACCCTCCGTCACTCGCCGTCTCTGCCACTGGTTTTTCATACATGAAAATTAGTGATTTATTGTCAAAGTCAGCGACGTGGCATTGTTTCACCAACAGTTCGTCACGCAACACGCGCCCTCTCGCATGCAGCAACACCATCCTTTTCACTTCCATGTCCTTGCGATTTTCGCAAATCTTCTCCTTCACTTTTAAAACGGTGTCGTCTGTGTCCACCACTAGAGAGAAACTCGGTTTCATGAACGAAATGATTTTTACAATCATTTGACACGGTGCAGGTAGAGTTTCCGACTCTTCATTCTTCTTCGGCGGCGAGGACTCCGGCGCCGGCACATCCACCACTTCTTGAATCACAGGCTCCTTCTTTGGCGGTGGCCACGAGTTCTTAACATTCTTCTTCCGACCGGGCAAACTCAGGTACTTCATTGGCCGCAATTTATCCTCTTCTTGAATTATTAATGAGAGTACGCTATCCATAGACGGAATTGGATCCTTTAAAAGAATTATCCCACTGATTTGAGCGAAAGAGTCATTGAGACCGAAGAGAAAGCTCATGACGCATTCCATATCCATATGATCGACGAGAGGTTGAGCACCGCCACATGAACAAGTATGAATTGGCGAATACTCTCTGAGTTCTTTCCATATAGACCTGAACTTGGCTAAGTATTGACTGACTGATAGAGGCCCTTGAGTACAAACAGCCAATTCTTTCTTCAATTCAAAGATTCTCCGTCTGTTGTGTCGCTGAAATCTTTGTTCAAGATGGATCCATATCTGCGCAGCTGAACAGGAGGAATATATGACGTTGGCTGTGAGAGTGACTTCATCAGAAATGGTGTTGAGTAACCAAGAAGAAATCAGGCTATCATTCAGCAGCCAAGCGTGAAAGAGAATTGGTTCTTTTTCATCTGGAATAGTGATTGATCCGTCGAGGAATCCAAATTTGTTCCTGGCCGTTAATATCATTTTCATGGCTTTCTGCCACCAGTTGTAGTTGTCGCCAGTGAGAGGTGGAGTAACGAGAACCATACGAGGGTGATCTAAGGGGTGGATGAAGAAAGGACTTGAAGGGTCAACCATTATTGTGACAGAAGAAATTTAGTTGCATATGGGCACAAGAGAAAGAGAAGAACTGTGAGCCTGAGTGCCTCGGTTGTTTTAACTGACAGCCAAAATGTGGGGTGATTCTTATTTCATTTACGTAAATTCCATTTCTTTTGAGACGAGTTCATGTGCTATACTATCGGGACGGATAATGCTATTTTATTCTATCTATTCAATTTCATACTTTTTTTTTTTTTTTCTAATTTAGGTTTAAACAACGTTGTAGGACTTATATTATAAATCAGTTTTTATATATATATTTATTTTTAATTTAGTCTCGACTATTAAATTTAGAGTAAACGATGTTAAATAAATAAAGTATTAAATTAAAAATAAATGTAGTATAAAGACTAATTTATAAATTTACAAATTTGACTTAACAATATTTTTATTAATTTGTGATACATTTTTAATTTTTATCTTAATTTTGTGATTTACCTGCACTCTCTCTTTTGCTTCTACTTTTATTTTTTTTATCTTTGTTTTTCTTATTCTTCTTGGTAAACTTTAATAAAGGTTATAATCTTTTTTTCTCTTAACTTTTTATTTTAAAATCCAATTAATTCTTAACAATCTTCAAATTACTTCACTATTTTCACTCTCACTCTCACACTCATCTACCCCAAATTTTAATCTCTCATAAAAACTTTCTCTCTCTTCAAATGCACCCTCATTATGTTACTAGCAACACATTCATTTATCTAGACCTTTAATTATCTATTCTCTTAACACTATCAAAATTAAGATATAAACTAAAAGTATATTACAAGTTTACAAAAATACTCAAATTTGTAAGTTAGTATTTGTATGAAAAAAATTATAAATCAGTCCTTATATTATATTTATTTTTAATTTAATTATTTACTTATTTAACGTCGTTTATTCTAAACTTAATGGTATTGATTAAATAAAAAATAAATATAGTACAAAGACTGATTTATAAATTTTTTATATATAGATACTAACTTACAAATTTAAGTCAAGTATCAAAATTAAAATATTATTTAAACCTACAATTTATATAGATATAAGAGATAGAAAGAGGATGAAAAAGTGTGTAAAAAATATCACCAAGATAATGCTGGAAGAATATATAATATTTTATATCTATATAATAGTACGATGAAACAGCTTCCAATAATGTTTTTAAATAAAGAAAAATGATTGAGTTCTAAATTTTTTATCAGTTCACATTATTAATAAAATTTCTGGATGCTAGTGCAAATTGGGACGTATCTCCAGAGGTTATGAAGACACCTACAAGCATCATGCATTAGGATATATGGTGGCAGGGACTGTGTATTTAATTTTAATGGCAGCGACAAACTATAATAATAAAGTGATCGTACTATTGTAAGTCTTTCCCTTTTAGGGTTTAGACTGTGAGAAAATCCTTATCTTATTTAGATATCTCCTTCCGTGGTTAAAAAACCTTTTTCCAATACAAAAATGCGTTAGCACATGAAGAAAATTGTTAAGAATATATTAAACATGCGTCCAAAGATCAATCCTGAATCCCAGAACAACTCCTTGTTTGAAACTTGAGCTTTATAATGCAAAATTGATATGTACCCATAAAAATATTTATATTATTATAATATTTTAGTGTTTGGACTACACCTAAAAATAAATTATATATTAGCCACTCATGATTATTAGCAATAACTTGTTATTTGAAATTCTACAACTTGCAATTCCAGAAATAATTGGCGAGACTCAAAAGGGAGTGTTGTCCTGTTACTAATAAGTATATAAAAACGATTAAAAAATTGAAAAATATGTTCCCGTGGATTCACTGATTACTTTTCACGAACCATGTGTATCGTCAAAACGCTTTAGCAAAGGAAGCATAAACAATATGCTCATAACATCTGCAATTACTTATGATAAGCGTATTATACACTGTCCAATGCTTTATCTGGAAACTGAATCTGAATGCTATTATTACACATGGCTTCCTCATGACTTCGATTGCCACTGTTAGGAAGAAATAGCAGAGATCCTTTTTTTCAGTTATCACCTTAATTCCTCATCAATTCTGACTTCAATGGTGTCGTTCAGTTCAATTCCATGCCACTGGAACGGCATGGATTCATTCATCAAACCATACTGGTAAAGGAACCGATAACGATCATCTGCGGGAAGAACATTTCCACGAGACTGAGACTCTAACGCGGTCCGCAGCTTCTCCCTCAAAACACGCACTTTATCATCAGGGTTTATTCTTATGGTTATCCAATACGTCCATTTTAATTCCTTCACCTTCACTTCCAACTCCTCTGACCCTCGGCCACCACCCGCAGCAGCAGCCACTGTCGCCGGTCTTTCATACATACATACATCCACGTAATTCTCATCAGTGATGCCACAATTAATCAGCAACTCATTCTGATGCAACTCCCGACCCGTTGGAAGCAGCAAGACAATCCTCGCCACTTCCTCAGCCATACCACAGAGTTGAATCTTCTCCTTCAGCAACAAAACGGTGCCGTCGGGGTCCATTGGTTGATAGGAAGTCCGTTTCAAGAACGAAAAGATTTTAACAATGATCGTACAAGGCGACAAGACATCTATAGTTGGCAGGAATTCGTCGTTGCAAAGTTCATCGACGAAAATCGAACATCCAGGATAAATTCCGCCTTCTTGAAGCATCTGAAAGGGATCCACTGGAAGCAATTCTTCAGACGTTGAAAGCAGCAAATCCATATCGTCCCTGTCCATCCATTCCGTCCTCGACGAAATCATCTCCTTTAGCGTCTCGACGGTGTCTCTGTTGATGTCAACTTCCATTCGTAGAGGAGGTTGTCTCCTGGAGGCTGACAACCAGCTCACGTAGATCGTGACTATCTTCGGCACTACTACTGGGTTCTCCTGCTTGTTCCACCACTCATTCAAGATTTTCCAGTATGTCGAATGAAGAAGTATGAGCTGAATGTGCGGTTCTTCTTGGAGATCGCATTTGCAGACTTCTTCTAGGACAGGTTTGCCTTCGTAGATGAACAGCTGGTCCTCCATTGGAATGTCGAATCTATCTTCAATTTTCTCTTTCATGTCCTCCGTTGTGGCATGGGTATGCACTTCGATGCAGAATGATATCCCTCCGTCCACCTCAAAAAACACCTTCTCATCCTCCATCTCATTCGCAATAGTAAGCACACATTCACAAAATCGATTCACAGTGATGATCTGTTATGCATAACTAATTTCCAACAGAATCTCACTCACATCAGTACTGAGTCGTTGTGTTATCACAACAAGAAAATACCACCGAATCTAATTTAAAAATCTAAAGAAATCCGTAACAAATATTGACTAAATTAGGAATAGACAAATGTTATTAAAAATAAAAATAATTTATTAATTATTTACAAATTTTATTTAATTTTTTTAATTTAAACGTATGAATGTTTATATATTTTTTAATATTTTAGAAGATAAAAATTAATTTATATATATATGTATAATTTTTAAAAAGAAAAATAATATTTTAAAAAACATAAAAATATATATTTTAAATAAAAAATATATCAAATTCATATTTTTTAAAAACAACAAATTAAAATCATTATAAAAAATAAATAAACTAAAATTATAAAATGTTACTTAAAATTAAAATAAATAATTATTATAAAACGAAAATTAAGTTTATAGTTATAACTATTTTTAGATAAATTATTTTAAAAGATAAGAATAACTATTAATTATTACATAAAATTTTTCAAATCATTCTGTTACATTATATTATTGATTTAGTAATATAAAATTAATAATTTTTATAAATAATATAGTTATTAAAATATAATAAATAATAATTATCAATTTATGTCTGAATTTTAAAATTATAATTATAAATCAATAAATTTAAATTAAATTTTATTATTGTAATCAAAATAATTAATAATAAATGATCTTAAAGCAAGAAAATATTTAATTTATGTTATCTAATATTTAAATTATAAACATAAATTTATAGTTTTTTACATAAAAATTTAATCCCTAATTATGATTTCAACTATGTTCACGTAGTTACATTTTTCTTTATTTTCAATATAATAAAAAATATATAAAAAACTTTAATTTAGTATAATTTATTATACAATTTATTTGTTTTAAAATAACTCAACTATCATAGTATATAAAAAATTAAATAGTAAAAAAATTATTAAAAAAATAGTATATAAAATTAAATATAACCATCATAATACTACTATAAAATTATAATATTTAAAATTATTAAATAATTAGTTATTATATTTTTTTGTTTTTTATAAATATTCAAATAAAAATTAATAAATAATATCTCAAAGAATGATTACAATTATTTTAAATATGATTATATTAATTCACTAAACATTATATGATTTATACGTATCAATACACTTATAATAATATATTTAAACATTTAAAATATTTACTAATTTTTTATTTATCAATGTTATTTAATTTTAAACATATTTTCAAACACACTACTATCAAATGTTTTATAACGATTATGAAAAATTTATATCATTGCAATTCAAATTAATTTATATTCAAATTTAAATTTAATATATGATATCGTAAATGATAGTGTATTTTAATTTGAATAATTTTTTAATAATTTTCTTTAATATTAATAATATTATTTTAAATTTTTTATATTTAATATAACAAAGAATTAATTATTAAAATAAAAATATTTTCTTGAAATAATTTTTGTTTATAATATTTTTAATTTCACTGACTATAATATAAAATATAATTTTAATAATATTTTAAAAATAAAATTATTATATATATATATATATATATAATTTGTTAAATGAAAAAATAATATTTTTAAAATTAAAAAAACTACGATAAGTGACCAAAAATTTCCTTTCTTACGCATTATAAAATAAACAATTACAAATGTGTAAAAAAACCTTACACCTCTCCAGCATTTGGGTTCATGAAATTGGAAGCCCCAATCTCTATTTGAAAGACAAATTTTAGTTCCTGTGCAGAGGATTATTTCCCAGGCGACAAAAACTTTATTCAAACTATCTCTTTTCTCATGAATTGGATTCCAACCAATATCAAGCTACTTGAGTAGTTTGTCATCCTTCTTCCTTCTTTTCTTTAGCTGCAACTGCTGTAGACGCATTCACATTTGAATTAAATATATGACCATCATGAGTGGCATCAGGTGAAAATTTGTCCAAGAGTCATAGTTACCCCGTTAGTGGAGATGCTTTTCCAATGTAGCATCGCATTGCAGTTTGCAAAGGGGATTCGCAAGGCTATTGAGGTGATGTGTTGATGTTTGTCTTGCCTTTAATTTCATCTGTCGCTGTGATGTTTGATACTTTAATTGGTTATCTTTTTCAATTTTTTCCATTAATTGTCTTAATGGATATCATTTTATATATTTTTTCTGTTTTTATAAATCTGTGTATATAGAGTTTTTGGTTATCTTTTTTTTTCTTTCTTCTTTAAGTTTCTGCAAAATAAAGAATTCAACAAAAAATATCAAGAAAAATCTTTATCTCTATCTTTAAATTAAAATAATTAATTAATTTAAATTATTCTAAATTAAAAAAATTAAACTCAAATTAATTCATTAAAAAAATAAGTATCCTAATTCATATTAAAGATTACACAATCTTAATACATATCAATTGTAATAAAGCTAACTACAATAGTTTTCAAAAATATATTATAATCAATTTCTATTATGTGAAACAACAATGTTAAGTCAATTGAAGTTGACTTCTAGGTAAGAGTCATTTAAAAATTGAAGAAAAATTAATTAAAATTGACTTTTATATGAAAGTCATTTAAAAATGAAAGAAAAATTGATTAAAAATGATTTATACGTATGAGTCAGTTAAAAATTAAAGCAAAATAAATTAAATTCTTCTGTTATATTTCATATCTTGACCTATCTATAACCATTTTTAAAGCAAAGTATATACATAATATATTATTCAATTTATTTTATTCATATTTAAAAGCGCCGAGGCTGAGAAAATGAATACAACAGGTAAGTTGTATTTGTGCAGAAAATTTTGGGTCATGATAAAGTTGTTACCTTGTTAACAAATAAAAACCATATTATAATTAAAAATATGAACAAATAGATCGTATATTCAATCACTTAGGTCTTAGAAGCTAGGCGCACCAATTGTTAGAAAAGAAATCAAAACCCTTATAAAGGAGCAAGTCTTCAAGCAATTAAGTATATAAAGAAGTAAAATTAAACCCATATCAAAATTAATACCCATACAAACTCTCGAATGCTTTTATTTCAAAAGTGGACGAATGACAAGGGAGCTTACAAAACTGTTATTTCAACGCTTTACTACCCTCATTGTTTACACCCTTGGTTAGTAAAGTTCTTTAAAACTACTAACTAACTTTCCCGCCAAACTAATGTTTAACGAACGAACTAACAGAAAGTCAGAAACGAGAGGTAAGTAACGAACTAGCAGTTTGTTATTAGTTAGGAACTGACAGTGGCGCATGAATGAATGGATGGCTTCTTCACCAGTTGTTTATGTCTTTCGTTTAGGTTTCTTCTGTTTATCATCTTCAACGTATTCATGGGCAATTTGAATGGTGTCACCGTCGCTAACCCTGTACCAATTAAACGAATGAGTTTCGCTCATGACACAGTTCTTGTAAGTGAAAAAATAAGCACCACTAGGGGGAACAACATTCCTGTAATACCTCTCCAACACATCTCTCAAATCTCCCACCGTATTTTCAATAGCATTTACCTGAATGGGTATCTTCTCGGTCCCGTTCTTGGGCAACACCATCACCGTCAACATCTTCGCTCCGTCACCGCTTACATGAGCCGCCAGCATTGGGAAAGTAGGTTCTGGTTCAGGTAGTTGTTTTTTGCGCACGTAAATGGTTGAAAATTTTGAAATGCCACAATCTCGCAACAACTGATGGTCGAGCAATTCCTCACCTGAATCAGACCACAGCATCATCTCGCTCCTTTTAATTTTGCGGCATTTCCTCATTCTAGCAATCCTGTTCTTCAGCTCCTGAACCGTGTCGATCAGGTCCATTTCCATGCAGAAAGGCTTTGCGTTCGAGTATTCACCGTTTTTCACCGTGAACGTGACTGTGGTCGAAGGAGGTTTCGGTGGAGACTGCGGAGGCCGCAGCGTCGAGGATGTTGGCGACGGCGGAGCCAGCGGGATCGGAGATGTTGCTGACAACAGAGGCGACAGCGGTGGTGGTGTAGGCGACAGCGGAGGCGGCAGCATTGGTGACGACGGAGGTGTCGGCGTCAATGGCGTCACCGTTGGTGACGGGGGAAGATTGTCAGAATCGGCGGCGACAAGGAGTTGAATTGGGGAGTCCTGGTGGATGTCGCTTGCTATGATTTGATCGTGATCTTGGAGAAGCTGACCATTGAAGAGTAGCGCTTGCTTGGAAACGGGAATGCCCTTGTATTTCTCAACCTTCTCTTTGACTTCCTGGAATGAGTCGTAGAAACCCACTTCAATGGAGAATGTTTTCTCGCCCTCAAGCACAAAAGTCACGTCCATGTCAATCACTCACTACAACAGTTCACAAACGCTCAGCTGAGCCAGCACAAAATGCTGTATGTACCTGAATTTATATAAATTTCGTATGTCTATGTGTGTATACACGAATCTTTTTATATTTATTTTGAAAAAAAAATTAAAATAAAATGTTCAAATTACTAAAAGACCTTATAAAATTATTAATTTTTAAAATAAATATTCAAAATTATAATCCTACTTAAATTTCCTAAATTAAAATTTTATGCTCTCATAAATTCATTTTTTGAAGTGTCACTTAAAAGAAGTATCAGTTCCACGTGAACTTGTTTAACCCTTGACAATAGTTTGTGGGCCAAATAAGATTGGTGCTTCCTAACCAGAACAATTATTTTAATGGTTAGAATAGTTAAAATAAGCTTTTAGAAATTATTTTTTAAAATAAGGTTTTAGAATTAGGATTCTATATTTTTTAAAATTATTTTCTAAAATGTTTTATTTCTATTTTAAAAATAAAATATAATTTAAAATATAATTATAAATTATATTTTATTTTTAAAACAGAAATCAAACATATTCTAAATCTTTAATTTTAGAAATTGATTTTAAAAAAGAACTAATAATTTTATAAATTAATTTAAAAAAAAACCTAATTTCAAAACTTATTTGATAATATATTTTTATTATTATAAAGGGTATTTTAAAAAATTATAATTTTTTTCCTAGATGTGTAAAAAAAGGTTTGCAAAAAGGTTTCACAACCAGCAAAATGATAATAACTTGAACAGCTACATACATGTGGTCAAAGCCGAACGACACTGCGACAGCCACGTTAGGGCTAAGTACCGAAAGTACAAGGAAATCTAACACTAAATACGAACTCCTCAAATACTAAGTTTTGTAGGCTTTTTTATTTAAATAATATTTTTTAAAAAAGAAATTATCAAATCATAACTTTTTTAAAATTATTTTTTTATCTAGAGTAATTTTAACTGCGTGTCATAAGTTTTGCTATTATTATTATTGACTAAACTTTTATTTTTAAATTTAAAAAAAAAATTGTTACTAAAAATGTGAAATTTATAATTTTTTTATTTCTTAAAATAAATTTTACCACAAAAAAATTGAAATTTATAAAATTTTTATACGTGTTAAAATATTTGTAATTTTATAATTAAAAAAATATTTATTTAAAAAATAAAAAAAGTTTCGGAAAATGGATGACAAAACTATTTGAAAAAATAACGTTGCATAGTGGAGCTTCTAGCGCAATAGTCTAAAGGAATACTAGATTGAGTTTCAACAAATGAAATCAATATAGCTACAAATGAAAAACACATGCCGTTAATCTCCAAATGGCTTGAAGCATTACATCTACCTTGATTTGCCTTCTAATTGATATAGAAGACTGCCCTTTTCAAACTCAGAAATTGAAAAATGAAAGAAAACTATCTCATTCATCAGACTTGTAGTTGTATTGATTTCATTTGTTAAAATTCCATCTGGTACTTCCTTAGACCCTTATGCTAGAAGCTCCACTCTGCAACGTCAATTTTATTTATTTTTTAAACAATTTTGTCATCCCGCAAAACTTTTTTTATTTTTAAATAAATATTTTTTTAATTATAAAATTATAATAGTTTAACACGTATAAAAATTTTACAATTATGACGAAACTTATTTTTAAAAATAATTTTTTTTTAAATTTCACATTTTTAATGAAAATTTATTTTTTAAAATTTAAAAATAAAATTTTTGTTAATAGTCATAACGAAACTCATGATATGTGATTAAAATTATTCCAGACAAAAAAATAATTTAAAAAAATTATAATTTAATAATATTTTAAAAAAAATATTATTTAAATAAAAAAGCAAGTTTTGCACAGAAAAACCAGATACTCTTTGATATCTACAATCCTAAATACGACAATGATTACTGATGTTTGAGTTATACATAAAATTATGAAAAGAACAAATGAATATTGTCATGTCATCTAACGCTCGAAATCTCTCGTCCATTTTTAAAATCTTCCAATTTGAAGAATTTCTGAAATCAAAACAGAAAAGAAAACTTAACATCTGTACTATTCTCCTCCCTTTAATCTTCCTTTGTTTCCTTCCGTCCGAACTCCCCGGCTGGCCTTGTTGTCAAGATTCTAATATCACCCAAGTGCACCCTGGTCATGCCTTTGAGCAGGACTCACCCGTTCCCATTTCTTATCCCTTTCCCTGTCCTAATTCGAGAATAATACTTCAGTTAAAGAAAAGAACTTGATAATTAGGGAAAAATACATTATTTTCTATTGTCATGTCATGTTTAATTGACAATAGGAAATGAGACGCAAGGACGCGATTTCTATTCTCTTAAGCCTAAGGAAGCAAACAATGACACTACAGGAAGAGTAGAAGCAGGTATTTCGTATACATCCCAACATGCAGGTCATAATGCTACTATAACATACTGTTTTCATCTATCTCATGAAAGGTATTGAACTAAAGGCACAGAATCACTGACAAGTATGTGATTGCAGTAAGACCGAGGCTAAGTACTCAATTCATTGAAAGAATAAAGCAAAAGCTAAAGCAGTATTCTATGGTGTTCACTGTTTAGCATGTGTAAACATAGTACATTTTGTTCATGATTCCACGTTTTTGTAGTTGACATTCATAATTCTTTCTGTTCTATCCCCTCTCCCCAAACGAGAAAAAATCCATTCAAAAGAAATCAATTGGTAGCTTTCCAATTTCAATTATCACGTTGTGGTTCAGTTCAATTTCAGTGATAAAACAAAATTTAGTACTTGAAAAGCAGCAGATGAAGCAACTAAAGCAGCTATCTTCTGCGCTTTGATTCTTTGCGCATATCTGCTACATAGCTCTCCAGATTTGTTTTCTCCCATAAACGTCTTAGCACAAGATCTTCCTTTGTTGCCTCATCTATTAATAACAGGCACCCAATCAGTAAAATTCAATAAGTTTTGAAGCATTAAGAGACATGCCAGAAGAAGTAACCAAAACATGAAAAGTAGGATGATTCTACTTCTACAACACAAATAATCCCCTAGTTCCACAATATCTAAAAGAATGTTCTGCATAGATAAATTATAATCACCTATATTTTTCCATCTATCGAGAGGAATACCAAGGGACCTTTGTGTCAAATAAGAAGCATCTTCCCAAGAATAAGGGTGCTTTTTCACTTTGTATCTCCAAACCCAACAGCAAGACCACAACAGCAGCTGAATGGAGAACAGAACTAATTAGTACTTGCACATAAAACAATTGATATTTTCAAGATTCAGCACTACTTATGGGAAAGAACATCATATATGTACACTTTGAATTAAAATACAGCAATCAAAGATTCATGGTATGCAATTGCAGTTTCCAAATAAGATTTTAGCTCTAACCTTGCCTAAAGTATACGGTAAAAGAACAAAGCGGACACCAACAAGTTTCCATGCAGAGGGCTTTTCAGCTCCCGATATCTGCAGCTCAAGCTCTTTGCTAAGATCTTCCTCCACTTTCCTGCATATACAGATTCCTCACATTGTGTGTCAAAACTCAAAAGTACAGAAATGATGGGCAACAAAGCCCAATCTTATAACATTGTGTGTCAAAAGAGTTTGTAAGGAGGACAACAAATTTGAACGGGTCAGAGGATACTATATTTAGGAAATTACATACTACAACTACACAGAATAAGGATGATACCATACTTGTCTGTATTCTTCTGACTCTTCTTCTTGTTTGTAATCCCTCCACTGCGTTCAAGTTCCAATGCCCTTAGTCTATTTTTATATGCAGGTGTCTTCTTGACCATGGCTACAGCCTAAACACACAAAATTCGATGCAAAGAATGTAGATATTTTAATATTTCAAAAACACTTTTACAAACAACAAATAAAGCAATTTGAAGAAAAATATTTGTCGTACATATCCTTCGTTGGAAATTTACACAGATCATATCTATTTTCAAATCTTCGCATGCATGTAAGACAGAAAATCATGGTATAACATTTTATCAGATAATGGCACCTGGAATTATAGGACATGTACGATACAGAAAATTTTCACCAGGAAACTTGGGTTGTGACAACCCTTGACTCGAAGACCTAGTTTCCTTGCCAAGAGATGTTTCCATATATGGAATGTTGGGCATAAGTTGGCAGAATACAATATTTAAAACATGAGTACAGAGGCATACAGCTCTTCAGCCTTCAGCTAGCTGATTAGAGCTGTGTAGGATAAATGCACATTTCACTTAAATACAAAGTTCAACTTAAAGTTTTTGACAATCTAGTTGCATCAGCAGTTAACATCTACACAACACAGTGACGGAAGTCTTATAATAAATCGTAAGGTATTCAATATATCACAGTACCTGATTATACCTTGTTGATTGATTTAGATATTGAAAACCAGAAAGAATAAGAAGAAGGCCAACCAACACAGCACGAGGATCCTGGCAGGTAAAAAGTACATGATAAAATGAGATTCAAAAGCAAAAATCAATCACCATTTTGAATCAATTTTATCCGATATTTATTGCTGCTTGCAATTACAAAGGCAACAAATCTCACCGTCTTGTGACCATAGTACGCCCGATAGTAACGTGCAGTATTATAAAACACCTGGAATCAAGAAATGAAAACTCAGTTCTTTTCAGCAAACACTAAAGATTGAGAAAACAATTCAGGGTTATGGACCCCAATTTTAAAAGGAAACACAACTTAACCGTAACGAAAATATAAGTACCTCCTCTGGATGTGCAATTGCATAATCATATTGTTCTCGGGTGGCCTCATCCTTCAAAATCTGTAAAGAAGTTTAATTTCTGTCATTGGCAACACAACTAATTTCTCAACGAGAAAAGAACAATGTGCTCCATTTACAATTTACTCCACATTGCAAAAGATTCGATCTTATAAAAGCTTTAACAAGAAGAATAACCAAGGTACCTCGTAAGCGTTGGCAATTTTAACAAACAGCTTTCGCGATTCTGGATCAGGGTTTTTGTCGGGGTGACTGGATCAAACAGAAAACCAAAAGAAAGAGAATTACTTGAAGGAGAACCAAGCTATGAGTACGGGGAAAGAGAGAGAGAGAGAGGGAGAGAGAGAAAGATACTATTTCAAAGAGAGCTTGTAGTATGCTTTCTTGATTTCGGAAGCATTGGCACTCTGAGAAACCCTACAAATGAAAAGACGAGGGACAGTCACGAGAACAAATAAAGCACAAACCAAAAATAATTGGGGAAAGAAAGGAAGCTTAGCAGACCCAAGCAGATCGTAGCAATCATCTTCGTCGCAGTAGATTGCGCGCGAAGGAGAAATGGTAATTAGAACGAGAACCGCCAAAAGAAACGGGATTCCAGTTGGGCGCCCCCACATCGCTGCCGGCGACGGATCCAATTCGCCGGAAAACGGTGTGCCTAATTTTCTACTTTCTCTCCGTCGACACAAACTCCAGACTCCAACTATATCTCTTTTCTGGCCATAAATCTGATATAATTCGGGTCCTCGTGCTCCGAGAGTCCGATTTGAATTGCACTGGAAACGACAACGTTTCGGTTCGCTTCTTTTCTCCAAAAATTCTTCTCTGTTTTCTAATTTAATTTGATCACTCTGCGCTTACATTTTTAGTCTTGTCAAATAGTCCACTGTATTTTTCTTTCTTCACATTTAGTTCCTTTAAATAGTAAGGGATCTTCTTTTTTTATTCCGTTTCAGTATTGCAAATTTTTTTATGTAACTCTCATAAATATTATAATTTTCATTGAATTATCTTAAAATGAGAGATCACGTAAAAAAGGTATGATACTTATACACGAATATCAACATAGTGTGTATTAATCTGGAATCAACTCTTGAAGTCATCACGGATTTCAACAATCACTCCAGACCTTATTAAGATAATTGCCTAAAGGTTTTGTACTGTTTGAACTAAATTATACCTATATATGCGTATCTTTTGTCTAAATTGAGTAAATAATACATTATTTCAAAACTAAATACCAGTATCTGGGAATCTTGGATGATGATAGGTGGAAGCATGTTTAGATACTATTAACTAATAAGATAGGATTTGCAAGAACATAATTGCAGGAACTAACTTGCATAGAAGTTGATAAGGAGTGATGAAAAAGATCTATTTAGAATTCATAATCTTTTTGGAATAGAAACTAGATATTTAATTTTATTTTTATTTAAGTAAAATAAATTTACTTAAAAAAAAATAAGGAAAATGATAAATTTTTATACAAAATTAACTTAAACAAATTTACATAAAAAAATTTGTCATTTTCTATATATTCACTTAAATAAATATATTTTTCCTTAAATAAACTCTCGTCACAGCTACGGAGAATCTAGATCCATCTATTTATGGCATGGAATTTCAAGCCACTGTACACGTCAAAAACTCCTAGCCAGACCTCCTGTTCTCTTTCACGTCCTCCCTTGTAATGACCGACCCTAAATGCACTGCAAAATTGTTAGGCAGGACTAAATTTTTTCTTTAAATATAAATAAATATGAATATTAAATTATATATTTTTAATAAATATTTAAATAATTTTAAATTTATTTTACATAATTATCATGTGATAATACATAATTTAATATAATTAAATTTTATTAGGGTAACTAGGGATTAGGCGGGGCCAACGTGTTCGATGGACACGAAAAAAAATGTGATTCAGATGAGGGAATTTGATTATCTTTTTCTATGATAGCCGTTGTTTCAATCAAGTCCTAACCACTGATGATTGTGAAGGATTTACTTTGTGTGTCTGAGAATTATGATCCGTAAATCAAGTTGAGATTTTGCAGTGTAAATGCCTGCTGATGGGAATCCTGTCTGTTCATTCTCTCCTTCTCCAGCATAATCATGCACCCCTCTTATCCCGTAGCTACAAAATATTTCTTACATATATTCTTTATATTTTTTTACAGCATTATCTTTTTTGTTTGAAATTTATTCTAGTTCATTATCCTTATAAATTCCCTTTTTTTTTACCATTAACAAATTAAAATATATTATAAATTTAATTTTATATTAATTATTTTTTATGACATGTCAATTTATAATTACACAATAATATAAAAAATAGTTATACTGTTAATGCATTTAGATTAAATATCGTATTAATTAAGACAGTAAAAGTGATGATGTTGCGCGTGTGGCTGTGAATGCTGATTAATAAGTATCAGTATGTGCTAATCATCATGGCATTCCTTTGGGATGTATATACTTTGTGAGAAGAGAGAGAAAAAAATAACCATTATAACATGTGATATAATGTAAAAATAGAATTGAAAAATAAAGAGACGTAAGATAGATATAAAAACTAAAATGTGGAAGAAAAATAGAAAATACAATGTTGGCTAATGGCTTACCTCATTTTAATTTATAAAATTTTGAGTTAAAGAAAAACTTGGATAAAATGGTCTGTACTGTGAACGTCCCATAAATGGTGGCTAAGGATGGATATTGTTGTGCATTGGAGCAACTGAGGCATGGATTTCCACGTTGCCGATTACAATGTACTCACTTGAGTAAGCAATGCACATGCATGTCCTGCCCTCAATTTCCCAGCCTTGGCCAATTGGAAACTTGAGGTTCAAAACTTTTGACGTTGATGTTACCCTCGGTGGAGCCATGCTTTGGTAGCGGACATGGATCATGACGTAACAGTTAGGCCCCGGTGTGTTTTGCAGTGTACTTATCCATTGCAGTATGTAAGTATTGCTGTGCTATCGGATATTCTTATGCTATTATCTTGGTGTAACTTCTCTCCGTAACTTCAAATTCACTGACATTCAAGTTAAGATTAATCAATTATTGTTACTATTATTTCCCTTCGTGTTTTTCTTCATCGACGTTAGATCTCAACATCGATGTCCTTGGTGTTATCATTGGTGACAATAATTGAGGGATTTGTAGCTTATAAATCATCAGCAAGTCCGCAAATCTAGCTTGCTAAATCACACTCTTTTCCTAAAGGCTGAAAACCAATTTGATTGCTCATAGCTAGCAGGTACTTCCTTCTGTGTGTGAGTGCCACTTTCTGCCATTAATATATCTTTAGAATTGATTGCTCTGCAACAAGTTGACCCTCTCCTCGTATATTTAAAATCATCTATTTATATATTTTTATAATCTCCTTTTTGTTCGTAATAATAATTATATCTAGTCTCCATCATGTACTCTATTTCTCCCTCATAGTCTGTTACTACTGTGCGTTTGCATCCTATATCTAAATAATCGATCTGATATTGGAAAACATGAGGCGAAGGTTTTCGTATTGTAAATTATTAGTTGACAGTATTTAAATATAATTTTAGATTTCGAGCTATCATTTTATTAGTAAAATGAAAAAAAAAAGTCACATGTTTCCCTAAATCAAACCATAACCTATATAAGAAATATAATTCATATCTTACTTTGTCACCTTCACCGTTAGCTCAAACTTTTGTTAAATTACAGTCAGTTCACACTTGGTGTAATGATTTGCCTGAATCTTCATACAACATAAAACGTAACTGAACTACATCTTATTTTTGTAACTAGTATGTACTTAGAGAATGTATTGTAAGTTTTTGATTCAACCAAGTATTCTTTGAGGGGCTATCTAACTAACTCCAACTGAAAATGGGGTGAAACAATCCCTTCTTAAAAGGACCAATAAAATTATGACCAAGTGTATTCAGATAATTTGAACTCACTTATATACTTCACTTTTCAGTAATTATCACATTAAAATTAGTATCGATATTAATGTAAGTTACCAAGGTGAAGTAAGTGAAATTTAAATTAAGATATACTTAACTACGTTGATTCATTTAATTTGAAGATATATTATTTAACCTTATTTTTATTTGAGGCAAGTTAGACAACTCCCTTTATTAATTAGCCACGAAATTTCAGTTGGCTACTTGGGTCAGTTAGACAACACAGTCTAATAATACGACACTTTTCCCATTTCGAGTATAAGTTAGACAACTCCTCCATTTGCCCTTATGATAAAATTTTTTAATTCAATACATATACAGAATTACATGCTACATTTGATTATCTAATCCATACTTTTGTGGTTTGACGTGACCATTCGAGCAAGTTAATTGAATATCTAAGTATCTTATTGCGAATGCCACATATCATAGAGTACCTATGCCTTCATTATCAGTAGCTTATGCTATGCTATTGGTTCTCAAATTCCAAAACATGATCTTCTATTTTTGTTTTTTGGTTAAAAATAGAAAACTTTCGACCTTCTTTCTAATTTATTTGTAAGCTGTAAGTACGCAGTATTTGAAATTATTTTATATATAGCATAAAGTCAATTTACACACAATTAGCATTGTGATAAAAAAAAATGCAAACATAATTTTAAATCAGTAATGTTCATTTAATGTCTCATTTGTAAAAGTAAATTCCCATCAATCAATATACTTGAGAATGTTTATTAAAGAAAATGCATTAAAATTTCTCTCACCCTTTGTTCTTCTCCTGCTAATATAATTAATCTCTCAGGCAATGTCATGTTCAGCTTATTTTCCCAATTAAGTCCGTAACTAACGAGAAGAATTGGGATGATAGCAATATAACTGACACTTGAGAGAATCCTTAGCCTTGCAGAAGCTCCTTTACATAGGCTTAAAGGTATTACTCGCCCTAGCTGTTCAATAAATCCTGTGTGTATTTAATTCATTTACCCCATAAGAGGATATTTAATAAAATGGTCTTATTTTTAAAATATGAACATTAAGTTTTTAAGAAGTATACATCATTAGGAATGGGTTAATGATACAATGTGTAGAGTTTATAGAATATTTTTAACTTGAACTTCTATTTAAAGTACCCCAAAAAAGTGGTTATGCAAGTTTAATTGGGGCTGCAAAACAGTTAGATATATATAGTTAGAATTCAGCAATGGGAATGTAAAAAAGTACAAGATGATAAAAAAGTGAACATAATCTTGTGTCGACTAAAAGACATGCAATTGCCTTTGTCTCTACAAGTCTAAAACTTTTCAATCAAAGACGGAATATGAACAGAAAAAAAGAAAGCTACAAAAACAGGTTGTCTTTCATCATTTCTTTTTGTCTCCATCTCTCAAAATTATAAAGGAAGGAAGAAAGAAAGAACTCACTTTTTAATTTCTTTCAGCCACTAACAAAGTATGGAGTCGATTTCAAACCCACCCCTTCACGAGGCATACAAGATCCTCTTGGACAAGATCCAAAACAGAAAGGGAGAAGATGGTTTTGAACAAGAACTCTTGGTGGTGGAGGAGTGCGAATTGCCAGTGATCGATGTGAGGCGTTTAGAAGAGAGTGATGAAGTGTTGAGGGAAGAGTGCAAGTCTGAGATAGCTAAGGCATCTCAAGAATGGGGTTTCTTCCAGGTCGTGAAGCATGGGATTTCCAATGATGTTTTCAGCAGGTTGAGGACTGAGCAAGAGATGATGTTTCAGCAACCCTTTGATAAGAAGACCAAAGAGCACAAGTTCTTCAACTTTTCCACTGGTAGCTACCGTTGGGGAACCCCCACTGCAACATGCATCAAGCAGTTATCTTGGTCAGAAGCATTTCATATTCCTTTAACTGACATACTGAGTTCCAGCGGATCCAACACTTTTGAGTAATCACTTATCTCCTCTCAATATTTAGGTATAATCAACCAAAACTCCAAAATGTATTAAAACCATAAAATTGTAGTGAAGTTTGAATCGGAGTTATTAATTTGATATTTTCTAAAGCCTTTACAGGCATTGTGCAAAAAAATTTGCTCTCCAAATATATGTTTCACTTTTGAAAGATAGAATTAATTTTAAAACAATTAAGGTTAAGTTCTCCAACTATAATATTTTTAATAGTTTGATTCTGTAATTATTAGTATTAAATTTGATGTTAATTAAATATTTGTAGGTATGTAACTGACCAGTATTTATTTATATTTTAAAAAAATACTATATATTAAAATAGAATAATTAATAAAGCTCCAATAAAGGCATCTAACACAATTTATGAGTTTTAAACATTCAACTAGGAATTAGTTTGATAATTTTAGAAACTAAACAAAAAAACGCTATTGAACAGTATAAACGTTGTATCACTTACATAAGGTGTTATCGAAGTATGTGGTATTTTCATCAAGTCACCACAGCAAAATATAATTTATCAAAAGCTGGTATTAATTTTTGTAGGTGTGTCTATGTTTGCAGTTCGACGGTTGAGCAGTTTGCTAGCCAAGTTTCCTCTCTGGCGCAAACGTTAGCTGATATACTGGCTGACAAAATGGGTCACAAGTCAACTTACTTTCAGGAGAATTGTTCACCCAGCACCTGTTATGTTCGCCTGAATCGATATCCTCCCTGCCCCTTGGCTTCTGAGGTTCATGGACTAATGCCACATACAGATAGTGATTTCCTCACCATTTTGCATCAAGATCAGGTTACAGGTTTGCAAATTGTCAAGGATGGGAAATGGATTGCAGTCAAACCTAACCCTGATGCTCTAATAATTATCATTGGTGACTTGTTCCAGGTACTCATCATTATTATTTATTATTGTTGTTAATTAGCTCATGTATATAACTTATGTGAAATTATGTACGGATTTTAGTGCTTTTCACTGACTGATGGGTGCAGGGGAGAGAGAAAAACATGTATATTTTTATATAACTTAAAATGCATGTTTTTTTTTCCTTTCATAGTTGACCATCCAATAAATAGAGGAGTTTTTCCAGTAGTTATAGGTACTATTGCTTGCTTGTTTTTTAAAATGATAGTGCTATTTGTTTTTGTACTTAAGAATTGATGATCGGCTTTTATATGCAGGTATGGAGCAATGGGGTTTACAAGAGTGTTGAGCACCGAGTTGTGACCAACCCAAAATTGGAAAGGTTCTCTATGGCGTATTTCTTTTGCCCTTGTAATGACACAGTGATAGAGAGTTGCACAGAGCCCTCGGTGTACAAGAAATTTAGCTTCGGGGAATACAGACAAGGAGTTCAAGATGATGTTCAGAAATTGGGCTACAAAATTGGCCTACCAAAGTTTCTCATACATAAAGGGACTACATAGTGTGCATGTCTGCATGAATATGAATAACACGAGTTTAATATTCCAACAATAATTATTATGCCATATATATATATATGTGAACTTGAAACAATAATAATAAAAAAGGTCGAGTTTAGTTTACCGGGTTTTCAGCTTCATTTAATAAAACAGTTGAATATAATTCAAATAGTGTTCTTTGTTATAATTGAAATATATTTTTTTAAATTTGTTTCCCAAGTTTTGAAAAGATGTTTTCATTATTTTCGCCACAAAATTAAAAAACCCAACATATTTTGAAAATACAGTATCGCCAGTAAATAATAAATCATATTCATACTTTATGAAGTTTAATGAAGTTATATCTAATTTTTATTGTTTTACCTTATATAAATTTCCAAACACACGTATGAGGTTTAGTAAAATTAAATCTAATACTTTTTTTAATCCAAACACATTTTTTTCTATAATTATTTTTATCTAATACTGTCTAAAAATTATTCAAAAAAATTACCAAACAAGTATAAGATATTTGTAATAATTGATTTCATACTTTTTTTTAATTATTTGTCAAATATAAACACATTAAAACACATTTCAAGCATATCAGCTTTTTTTAAACATATTTTAACGCAAAATTTAATCTTTAAGAAACATACATTTAATTAGTCTTTGATGAGATGGACTACTTGATAATTTAGTTGAAGTGATTCCTATTAAGTCTGGATTTTTTTGTGCTCTTTTTATTTGGTATTACTCTTTAAACCTTTTCTTTTTCATAAAAAAGAAAGAGAAATAATAACTCAGTTGAGTTTCTCCAGCCTTTATTACTATAAAAGATGGCATGTGAGGAATAATATAAAGAAAAAGAAACTGAAAATATCAATAGATAGATTATAACATCACATGTTTGTATAAATTCAGAATATAAATGATTCAAAGAAGATCGCAAATTACAATAGATCTAAGGCAACAGTAACTATTATGCTTTTCAGTTTTTATAAAATATCATAAAACTAAATATTAATTGGATTTTAAAAGTATTATATTATTAATAACGATTGTTATGTTAAATTTATGACAATTTTTTAAAAGTAGATCAGAAACTTTGTAACGGATGTTTTTTCATTAATTAATTTTTTTTATTTTAAATTTTTTTGGGAATAAATCCCAACAAAAATAGGAGATATTTCTACAAAAGAAAACGCACTCTAAGAGTGTTAGATTTACTTTCTCATTTTATTTTATTGGGTACCATTAGTTTATGCATTTTTCTTAATAATCATACAATGTCACATTAAATTATTTTTTTTAAAAAAAAATTGTATGTTCAATAATAAATAAAAAAAAGTTGTTTTTAATGTTTTCAATCTTGGCCACTTTGAAAGAGAAGGGTTTTTATTTTTAATTTCCCATTGACTAATGTCAATTGGCAAACCGGCCCAAAACTATTTAACTTTTGTCGTATTTGATTTTGTGGCTGTGCTCAATGTCGTTACACGGCTCACAAATCTCACTTCCTGCACGTATATAGATCAGATTATATGTAGACCAGACTATAAATAAAATGAGGATGAATGACCCAAGATGGGAAAAGACAATATTTTATTGTCTGTTTTACTCTGTACAAGTTAGATATAGAACTTATGACCACAAAATATATATACATAGATAGAAATTAACAAGTTCTGTTGCAAGAGTGAATATTGATAAAATTATATTAAAAACATTTAACGAAATTTTATATTTTTAATATAATTAATTTATTTTTTCAATAAAAATTATTATTTTTGAATGTTTAACCTAACCCTAATGACTATAATTAACGGGACCCTTAAAATTATTTGAAATATTAAGTTGTTCACTTATTCTTGTTTATTTGGGATATTAAGTGGTAAGTGAGTCTCACTTACCCGGCAACTCCTGAATTCTGATAAGGATTTTTATTTTCACTTTTTAATCAGTTTCCTGAGAATGAACAGTTGGCACTGCTACAGCATCTCGAATTACGTGTACCAGTCACAGTTCAATCTTCATCAGCTAGGAATGTGCAATGTCAAGTATTGGTGTCATCCTAGTTCTATCAACAAAGCAGATCATCAAACTGCACAATACTCCAAAGATCAAAAGGATTAATGTCAAGAAGTAATAACGATGCTATAGAATTGTTACTATGAATTATTAAAAAAAATTAATGAATGAATTCTTTTGAAAAAATCTGGTCCATTAATCAACCCAAAATAAAATGACAAATGTTGGTAATCTTCCCATTTTCATAATCTTTCCGTGACCAAGAAAATCAGAAAAGAGAAGCAACTGGGTATCCATGCAAATTTTGCAGTTATGTTCCAACATCCATTCCGTTCCTCAAATTGGAGCGTGCAACCGCAACGACCAAACCGGATCCAAATCAGTTTCAGGGAGACCCAAGGTCAGCCCTCAACTGAACCGCTGGTCAAGAGCTCGAGCCATCCGGTCCGGTCACAAACTGGACCGGTCCGGTCCCCGAACCCAACCGCTGGAACCCAACCCTCCTCAACCACCGATTTCTCTCCCACTCGACCCAAACGACGCCGTCAGTTTTGACGGCGCAGAGGTAAGGACCGTCAAGTCCATCTACATAGTCTCCGACGGAACCGGATGGACCGCCGAACACTGCGTTAGCGCCGCTTTGGGTCAGTTCGACTATTGCTTGGTAGACCGTGGCTGCCCCGTCAATACCCATTTATTTTCTGGGGTAAGAAAATACAATGATTTTTAGAATAAATTTCTCCTTTTTTTGTTTTTGGAAATTTTAAATGTTGTTTTTTTTATTAGATTGATGATGCGGAGAATTTGTTGGAGATCGCAAAGCAAGCAGCGAAGGAAGGGGCTTTGCTTGTGTATACTTTAGCTGACCCATCATTGGCTTTAGCTGCAAAACAAGCATGCAAGTTATGGGGGGTGCCTTCCACTGATGTGTTGGGACCCATCACAGAGGCTATTGCTTCTCATTTGGGTGTCTCTCCCTCTGGTCTTCCTCGTGGGGCTTCTGGTCTTCCCCTCTCTGATGATTACTTTCGTAGGATTGAAGCTGTTGAGTTTACTATCAAGCAAGATGATGGGGCGTCTCCCCAGAATCTGGCCAAGGCTCACATTGTTCTCACCGGCGTTTCACGCACCGGCAAGACCCCCTTGTCCATTTATTTGGCTCAGAAGGGGTACAGGGTGGCCAATGTTCCCATTGTCTTGGGTTTGGAAATGCCAAGGACTCTGTTTGAGGTGGATCCAAAAAAGGTTTTTGGTTTAACTATAAATCATGTTGTGTTACAGAATATTAGAAAAGCAAGGACTAAAGCTATGGGATTAGGTTCAGAAGGTAGGAGTAATTACTCTGAGATGGATTATGTTAGAGAGGAACTTGAATTTGCAGGAAGGCTCTTTGCTCAGAACCCTCTTTGGGCAGTCATTGGTAATGAATTTATTATATATCCCTGGTTTCCATTTCAGTCGCCTTAGATGTTATTTTTATGTATTGAATTATTCAAACTGTGATTTACTTTAATTCGTGAAAGGGGGTTGGAAAATGTTGGCTTCAAGCTAATGCTTATGATATTTTAATAATTTACCGTTTAATTACAGATGTGACTGGAAAAGCCATAGAAGAGACTGCAGCTGTTGTATTGAGACTGTACCATGACCGGAAGCACCAGTGCACCATGCCAAGGATCTCAAAACGCTATTAGAGATGACAAATTTTTCTCTTGTTGAGCTACAGATTGTAAAGCACCAAAATTGTATACTATTACAGTGCAGAGTTTGCTGACTACTCATAATTTCATGTACCATATGCTTGTGGGGGTATACTTTAGCTAACAGGTATGTCTTTTTTAGGTGTCATATATCATTCTATGTACGTTTTGACATGTTACTATCAATTTCAAGACTTGTATTATAAGTAATTCGATTCTAAGAAAAGGATTGCTAGATAATCTACCAAAACAAGAGTTGAACAGTATCTTACTAGGCCCAGCTGCTGAAAAGGTGTTTTGCTCTGGCGAAAACTGCTTTAAAAAAAATTTGGTGATTGTGGGTGACTTTTCTTTTAGTGAAATTTCTCATAGAGCGCAATGAATAGGTAGAAATTCACTTTTCCTTCAAGGTAAAGGAAGTTCTGTTTCTACCAAACTAGTAAAGCATTCCTCCATGGTTTGGTAGTCACTAGTAGAAGAAATGAAACACCATCAAATCTTTCAGGTATAGAAATTTGTCCTAGGAAGCCTTTTTTATAGCTCTTCGGATTGGCTTTAATAATCTTGTCAGATTCCAATTACACTTAATTGTTATACCGGGATTATTTGTTGGTATGTATATGATTTATTTTCTTACCAAATATCTGGGCTGAGTTAATAATCATGCTAGTGGGGCTGCGGAACACTTGTTGAAAAAATACATGACGTGCTAAACATGTCGAAACCCTAGATTCCAAGCAATCTATATGTCATTTAACATATTAATGCAAACTTGCTGGTGTACCAAACTTGCCTACTAGCACATATGGAAGAGCTGGTGAATGGGGAGGGGTTTCTTTGTTTTTCTTTCCAATTGAGAAGTTCAATAATTGTCACAAATTTTGTGGGTTAAGTTGCTGATATTTTGTTCACCTAACTGGGACATGTGGATCAACAGTGTGGCTGCAATCTTAGAATAACTGTTGGCTCATTGCCATAGGATTGTATCTAATATCTTATTATCGGTGAGGACAAGATAAACGCTTACGTTATTGTAGGTTGTCCTTAAGTCTGCAATTGGAAAATTTTATGGCAGTTTAACTTCTGTAAGTGGCAAACATCAATCTTAATGTTAAGGTTGTTTGTTATGGAAAATGATCTAACCTTCACATGCTTCTTGTTATTTAGACCAAAGTACACAGCATACAAAATTTTCTAAATTAATCTCAATCTTTCATACAGTTTATTCCGAAAGGTTTCCCAATATATAAACATTCTTTGTCCCTGGAAAAGGCACTCGTGGACTGCAGTTTCTTTCAGAAAGGAAAGCCTTTCAAGCACGCATGCCGTTGTACCTACTTTTGTAGCTTGTAGGTAGCTCTCATGGTATTGGTTTCTTACTTTTTTTTCCCTCCCTTTTTCCCACTGTTAACATTTAAAATCACACACGTTAGAAAAAGCTTCACTTGGCATTAGGATTGCATGTAAGAGCAAAGCAGAACGGAATGATACAGGAGATGAAGATAGGGACTGAGTCGAAAGAGGAAAAAGTGACTTTCTTATCCGCCAACTCCACTATATGCCCTTAAATGACACTCCAAATAAACTATAGAGCACTCTCTTCCATGTGATCTTTATCTGTTGCTGTCTTCCATTCATATAAAAGAAATATTCCTCCCTCCTTCTATCATAGTGCAGTATGTCATTCGTTGTATTTGCCTTTTGCAGCTCCCAAATAGGTAACTGATTCTGACGTCAAGGTGGTGAAAGTTTTTGTTAGCTTTTGCAACTTCTACAAATTTTGTTTCTAGAGTTTTGCTCCAATCCTGGGATTATGTTAGATTTTACATGCCCATTATTTCATCGTGTCTGGTGTAAGTCGTTGGCATCCATCACTGCTGCTAGTCACCCCCATATTCATCTGCATTTTGCTTGCTGATAGTAAGAGTGAAGTATATGAGCAACATTGTTCCCATGCTAGACCTGTTTCAGAACAGATAAATCAAGGAATATAACTTGAGTGGACTGAAAACAAGTTAAAAGCAGAAACCAAGTAATCTTACAAGGTGGCAAAGAAAAGAAGAATTCTTTTAGGGTCAAGGAGCCATGAAGAAGGTCGTTTAAAACTATTTCTTCTAGTTACACATTTGCTTTCGGTTGTGGTGGTTGGGCAGATATTACTGGCAGTGATAGTAATCTGATGAAGGGCTTGTGCGTTTGTGGAATGATGAGTGGATCCCACTGCCCCTACCGCTGACTTTTCTGCCATGCTTGACCCTACCAGAGGAGCTGCAGTTCCATAAAATCCATATCAATATTGTCTAAATTTCTGATTATGACAATACCTATGCCCTCAAATATGGGTTATCAACAAGATATTATAATATATCATTGTAATAATCTCAAACTGTTGTGCCTGTAGCCTAGTACATGGTTGAACCAGAACTCTATTTCAAAATTAAAATTGACGTGTTCACACAGTGGGTTTCCTCTTTTTCACCCCAACTAATCTTCAACCACCAGGACTAGGCCGAGCAAATTTCACCGCCCTCATAATATTCAATTTCGTAATCCCAGTGTGACTACAATCATGTTTAATGTCATTCCAAAACATAAATACATTGGATCTGACATTATGATACTGACAATTATAATATATTAATAACATCCATCGTTATACAGCAATGAGACCTAAGAATAAGGAGACACCCACCTTGGCCTCACATAGGTACAGGTTGGTGTTGAAATATTTTATGATACCAGTTTAATTTTGTCACCGATGTTCACATACACGTAATCAATAAACCCAATTTCCATAATGTCAAAGAATAGATACAAACACACCTGTTGATTATATTAAACTTCTCTTCAACTAAAGAGATGCAGCAAAACAATTTCCATGTAAGCGAATCATTCGGTCTAGATTCGTACAAGAAAAAATGATATTTGGATCCTATCATGTGTTTTATATGTTGTACGTGGTACCGAATTTATCTTTTTTTGTTTTTGGTCTGGGTATAAATTTATCTTCAAATTACCATATCACGCGAAAAACAAAAGTCAAATTAAGATCCAAATACAAAACAAAAAAGACTTTATTACATTTAAAATTAGAATAATAGAAAGAATGATTTCGCAATTTTTTGGAAGGGTAATGGTACCTTTTGCTGAGCATGTAGTCGGGACAGTATCCCTATCATGAAGTGTGACATTGCCATTCACCTTCCTGTCGCCCCCACGCTGAGATCCTTTCCTGGAAACGCTCCGCTGCAACTATATCGTTTAAATCAATCAATAACATGAATAAAATCATTATTAAGTATTATAATAATTAAAAGAACAATTGAACAAGGCAACTTGGTGGAAGTTAAGTAAAAGATACACAAAGTTGAAACTTAAATGATTAAATTAAACAGCTTCCTCCTATCTTCAACTTTTCATTAATTAAAAATTATAGTTGAGGGTGAAAGAAGTCGGGGTTGGGATAACAATAATGCTTGAGAAAGACATTCGACTTAAATGCCCGCAAAGGTTTAACAAAAGTCGATAACGTGTATGTTTTCCTTCTCATTTTCATTAATGCCCCCATTCTCTGTTCATGGCGAAGGTCTAACATTCGACTTTTTTAGTGTCTCGTCACAAAAATAAAATAAAAATTATAATATTTAATTTAAGATACATTGTAAACTGCAAGAACATAACACTGACCCTGTTTTGCTGGAAAGATGCGCCAAACAAAACCAAAATGAAATTATTATTGGAATAAAATACAATTTAAACTAGAAAACAAAAAGGGGATCTTACTGTAATTCTGGAATTAGCGTTGAGGCTATCTTTGTTGATGGCGGAAGAGAAGGAATCCATATCAATAACAAAGCTATCAGATTTCTCAGCAGTGTACTGATATGCGTTTATGTGATCTGCAACCGAGATTCTCTGCGTGCCCAGGTTCTTCTGTTCTGATTCCAAAGCTTCGCTACCTAAATCCTACAAAAACCAAACCCAACAATCCACAACCACAGAACCGCAAGGATTATGAACCTGTTGACTAAAAATTGAAGTAACCGAATAAAGACCCAGTTTTCAATGGAACAGTTATAGAAGAGAAAAATCGGAAAAGGAATTCTTACCAACTCCGGAATTTCTGCCATTTCCATCACTTTCTTAGAGAAAAAAGGTGAATGAAAGAGGTGTGAATGTTCAGGTTTGAGCTTCAAAAATTGCGTGTTGAATGGGACACTGCTCTATAGCTATGCAGCACCTGATTGAACATGAACGTGAACCTCGTAAGTCAAAACGCTCAACTTTATATATAAAAATAACATAAACAAACATAAAGCAATCGGAACATACCCGTGAACTATGACCCAGAACTTTCTTCTTTTCTCCTTCTTTAATTCCGGGATTAGTTTGGAAAACTGAAAACCAAAACCCGTTCAGAGAAGCTGGGTCCTCTTCACAATTCTGGCGGCAAGTAAAGAGTTGCAAAGAAATCAGTTACGAAAGTTGACAGTTTCTTCTGGTGAATATGAATCATAGAAATGGAGGAAAGAAATGGACTTATAACCACTCTGTTTTTTGTCTGATTAGAAGTGGGTGATTTTTATTGGAAGGAAGAAAGAGGAAACGATGAGGGAATGGAATGGATGGGAAGCGTGTAAGAGGAAGATAGTGAGAAGGACACCATCATCATCATCATCATCATGTGGGGTTGGCTCTATGAACAAAACATACCTACATCAACAGAGATGTATAGTTGGGGGTTCGAGACTTGCTTTCTCTATTACCTTTTATTTATATTATGTACGTTTGCCTTTTTGTTCTGTTTTCTTGTTTGAGAGTATGTCTTATGTACCTCACTGTGACGTGTTGCAGATAAGTACACTCTGCAACCAGGATCCGGTGAATTCACAAATATAATTGAGCGAATTTAACCATTAACACATATTTTTGTGTGGTAAATATTACCAACATAGAACCAGTTGAGTTGCTTCTTGATCTTTTTGGAACGTAAAGAAAGGATAAGGATAATCCTATCGTTATTTTTTGTGTCAATTATAAACTAACACCTTAAAGTACGCTTTCATATCTAGCTTGTATAATTAAGGATATTAATTTCAATCCATCATTTTTTTGGTGAGTATTCCATCATTTTAAGTGCACTAATCTAGTTAAAAATTCTGGATAATGATCATATCGGATCCGCTTTTCACTTACTCTTAAATCATTTTTTAATCTTATTATTTTAATTAATTAATAATAATAATAATTTGGACAATAATTCACCTTTACAAAATAAAGAATTTGCTAAACGAAACTTAATCTTTGTCTATCCTTCTTTGAAAATAAAAATACATGTGTTAATTATTCTTATTATAAAATTAAAGTCTTTTAAAATTAACTATGCA